GCGAGGAGTTGCCCCTGACCTTATTGTTTAACAAAAGATAAGGGAAAAGCGATGCCCCAATGAGCATGTCTATGTTTCCAGGAACGGCGTAAGTGTCGTCTGCTAGAGTCAAATTTTTAAATTCAATCATTGCCGAGGTGTCAACCGAAACGGTTGGCAACCGTTCAGTGACCCTATCTACTACTAGTGCATTTATATCAAAGTTAACGTTACGATCTATCCGAGAATAAAATTTTAAATTTATATATCCCTGTGTCGCTTTACTAGTACCTCCGATGCCTTTAACTACAGGACATGAAAGTGACCTATTTATTACTAAGCCTAAGCGCTGACAACATTGTCGTGTTATAAAGCTATTTTGGGCTCCGCTGTCCAGCAGTGCACGGACGCTTTGTTTGTTTCCACGCGAATCCCTAACCAAAATACGCGCCGTACCCAGTAACACGGTTGAAGGAGGTTGTGCTCCCATATTTGCCAATGAGCACAGAGCGACATCACCAGGTCGACCGCTAGAATCGTTGACCTTAGTAGGGGTGAATTCCTTATTCGCCTTACTTGACGCCGCTATGTTGCTATTTTCAAAATGTAATAGCGTGTGATGTTTCCTGGCGCACTTGCTACATACGGAACTCGAATTGCATTTTGCAACTAAATGCTTATCGCTTAAGCAGTTCAAACATAGGTTGTTTGTTTTTACTAACTTATAACGTTCGCTTGGTGAATATTTACGAAAAGTCGCACAGTTATATAAATTACCGTGTTTATCTTTACATACTATACAAGTATACTGGAGTGATGTCGGCGTAGCGGTTACGTAAGTTAACGACCCTGCTATTTTAGATGGTTGAGTCTGTCTACGGTCGACGCACCTTTTAATCTCCTGTTTAACGTTCGGTGAGCGCTGCATCACCTTTATTTGATCTCGCACGAACGATGCTAATGAATGAAAGGAAGGCATCTCCGAGCTACGATGCTCCATTTCAAACGCACGCACGGTGTCGGAGTCTAATTTCTTTAATGCTATATGGAGAAACACCACGTCCATGAGGTCATTAAACTTCAAATTCTTAAGTGCAGCCACCGATGCCACAAATTTATCGAGAAACTGCTCTAAGCCGTTGATGTTCGCGGATGATATAGGTTTAAGATCGAATATCTGGTTCAAATATTCGGAAGCTAACATCCTCCTATCTTCATATTTAGTTTTAAGCGTTTCAAATATTAATACGTAATTGTTTGCTGTAGGTGTAAAACCCGAGCAGATCGACTGTGCTCTGCCACTAAGTTTGCTAATTAAGTAATATAATTTTTCAGCGTCCGATAACGATGGGTTGTTGTGTATATTGTTTTGAAAACTACTGAAGAAGAAGGGCCACGTCTTAATATCACCATTGAATACCGGAATATCTATTGGCGGTAACCTAATTGAGTCACGAGGGCGTACCTGCATTTCAGGCTTCGCTTCACCTTGAGATTGTAGCAATTTTGCGGTTCTCTTCACGCGACACAACATATCTTCGAATGCCAGCAGCGGTTGGTAGTTCACTATGTATTTCGGGTCGGTTTGTAGTTCCGAATGATTAATTTGATCTAATATTCTTTCGTAATCTGTCCGCAAATTATCTATCGTTTCGATTTCATTTAAAAAGGCCTCCCGTACTGCCTCTATATGAATGTTCTTTATATAATCACTTATATTCTGCACACGCGAAAAGAGTATGTCCCTCTTGGCATAAAGCGTTTTAATTTTGATTTCACTTCCACTAACTGCCATTTTAAATTATTATAATAAAGTTATATTAATCACAATTAATCTCACACGCATAAACGACGTAGGATGAATACTCGGCGTGCCGTATTACGTAATCAGATCGAGCGCCCGATGCAGTCAAGGCTACGCGTCGTTTGCTAAACCTAATAATTTTATAAAAATTGTGGGGTAAGCGTATCAAACGGTTGCTATCACGCCGTTTCAATTATTTAATAAGCTTTAAATTTAACCAAATACGAGCGCTATTAAATGAATAATTCTGTTTGCGAGTAACAAATCAAAATTTTAATTTAAACGAACACTATTTAAGTCTATTCTATAAATTAGAGTGCGTTATCTAAACAATTAATTTAATAATTCGACCAGAAAATGGTTGGATAACCACTAAACACCAATCCAGATCCTGCCGAAGTGACCATAAAATGGTGGAGCCACGTGTTTAAGGCTGCCGAAAATCTAGTTCCCCGGTCAAACCTCAAACCTATTACGCGAGATATTAACTAAAGTGGACTGTATATGCGATTGCTTCTACGCTTACGTAAAGCGACTACTATAGCATGCGGTACAATGCACTCGCTCTTCCCTAAACTAAACTATTACTTGTCGAATCGATGAAAGGAATCCTGCTTGATTAGGAAAAAAAAACACAGATTGGAGCGGGTTAAACTATTAGCAAGCAGGTATAATTAAGGAATATTGACTCACCGGGGTTTCTTCTTCCTGTCGATCACTATAGCGGCGACTTCCGGAACCTCCTCTGGACAGACACTTCTGGGGTCCCAGTGGTGCGTCAGGAGAGAAGAGTTGGTTCAACGACGACTGCGGCGGGAGAAGAGACTCGCGCATCGGTCGCGCGTGTCTTATATATCCTCGGCTCGGGTGATTACGCGATGTTCTAGAATCGTCTTCTTTCCCCTCCCACCCCACCACCCCGATGTGTCGATAGGAGGGTACGAATGATATTGTTTGGAAAGGAATAATGATTCTACAAGTTCCTACCGTCAAATAAAAAACGCGAATGGTTTTCCGCGCAACCACATGTTGTATAGTAGTATAGTAAATTATATATAAAAAATATGAGTATGTCTGAGGTAAGGTTAAATATAAACAAATATTTTGCCAAGTGCGAATCGGACTTCCGAGCTTCCGTACCATCTTACAAGATTTAAATACCTGTACACATATTACTATCGATCAATAAAAAAGCCAAAAATACACGTTTCTTTTTCTAGTAGAAAATCCTTTAATTTCAAATTTATTTTTACTATTTGCTGTTATAGCGGCAACAGAAATACACGTTCTGTGAAAATTATAACCATCTACCTGTTACGGATCATGAGATGCAGCCCGCTGACAGACAGACACACGGACAGCGGAGGCTCCGTAATAGGGCCCTGCTGGTTACCCTCGGATTTTGAATCCTAAAAAGTACTTAGTTGTACACTCACATCTGTATGATTCTTTCTTCAAAGGACTATATTAGTCTGGTTCTCGTATGACATGACCAATGTAATACCTGGACTGACCTCTCTGAGTTTGTTTCGGCAGATCGGATGCTTCTTCTCAGTTTCATGTTTTTGTTGTGTTAAAGTGTTTTTTTAAAAAAAAAAAAACAACTTACAAAACAAATTTTATTTATCATTGACTGTCCTTCTTAGATTCTTATGTACTTACATAAATTACATTAGGTATATTAGGATATGAGATTCCTATACGTAAGCACGATTATCGAAAATCTAAAAATTACCTATTCTAATTAAATCAATAGATAATTTTAAGATTTTCGATAATCGTGCTTATCTATGAGATGTTTTCGTTAGTTAGCAAATTAAAGTAGTTAAGTACCTAATGTACTACCTGTATCGAAATTTCATTAATATGTACCTACCTGTTTTCAATTTAAACTAAATGTGCTTCAACAAACTTATGGGCACATTTTAGCAGCTATATTCATCCCGGCTTCAGCAATGGACATGAGCAAAAGGAAGCAATTTTTCTAAATAAAGATGTAGATATGTAGGTATTACAACCATAAATAGATAGCAGCGGCTAACCTAGTGAGCATGTGTGAGTACGCGCTGCGCCCCCCCTTCGTCCGTCCCCCTGATCGGGGAAACAATTTGTAGCGAAAGGCAAGATGATTTAAAACAAAAAGGAGAGCGCGCTGGATGTCATGAAAAATTTATTGAATGTATCTGTTTAAAATAAAATTATTTGCATTTTTGAACAACTAATCTATCCCTGTATGATAATTGTTTTGTAATTTTCGTCCTTCTTATGGTATTTATTTCCGCCCAAATATGTATTAAAACTAGTGTTGAAATTTCGAATTTTCGATGCTTATAACTTTTAAACATACTCTTTTTTTACTAAGGGCTAAATAATGATGAGACAAATTGAAATAATTTTTTATTTTGAACGTATACCATCAAACAGTGGAGTAATCGCCATTGTATGGAAGAATAAGCGACTAGTGTACCCTTAATATGATAACATTTATCGTGTAGGTATTAAGGAAACCCCAAATCCGTTCAATGCGAATTCGATAAGTTTGTCGGAAGAATTAGTATAACACTAATTTATCATGTTGAAATAATTTTAAGTTCTACACTACTTTACAGTTCTTATCCAGGTTAAAATTTAAATATTTGTAAAACTATTTAACGTGGTAGAGACACACTACAGTCATTATAGCTGCAGGTTGGCTAGACAGCAAAAGAATCACGCTAACACAGAATACCAGCGTAAAGTAGCAGCAAAATGTTGCTGCGTTTCGTATGATGAATGTAGAGATCCGGAGCTGGAAACGAGGCATTCCATCTTAGTATTCAGGGATTCAAGCACATCTGAAGTTCAAAGCTTAATCGGGGATAAATGTAGATGTCTATGGTCTCATATCACCTATTTCCATTTATCATAAGATAGACTGGACTGTGTGCTCAATTTTTTTTATAAGATAGGGTGACAAATGAGCATACAGTCCACCTGATTGTAAGTGGTTGCTGTGGCCCATGGACATCTACATCTATCCTCGCTGACGGATCAAAATACAGATGCGTTGTCAACCGTGAGTACTAAGATGGAATGACTCGTTTCTATTAAAAAGGATCTAGTTTACTACACTCATCCTTATTCTCTTAGCTTTGTCGAAACAGTTAACAGGAACATAAACTATTAGTAATGTCATTAATAGAATTACTTCTATAAGCTTTTTTCTAATTCCACAGATATGTATATAGTATTTCTACTATTTGTTGCCTCGTGTTCTGCGCAATATCTTCCCAATGGTTGTCCGTCGGATTTTAGCGTGCATCTCTTGCTGCCGCACGAGACAGACTGTGATAAGTTTTACCAATGCAGCAATGGTCAGAAAATTTTAAAACAATGCCCGTCTGCAACGTTATTTGATAATGACCTCCAGGTTAGTGGTAGCAAGATAAGCGTTACATTTGTATTTAGGCCTAATATCATTACATTTTTTCCATCATGCTTCATTTCATTTGTTTATTTAGTTCAGAGACATGATACAATAAGTTGTTCCACTAAAACTTTTATAGTATGTGCCAAATCGATTGAGGAAAACGGACTTTGACCTCAGATATGAGCCGAGTGTCAAAAGGCGTAACTTACAAAATCTCAATTTAGATGTGATACAATGTTTAAATATTGATATTATTCACACTTCCAGGTCAGCACATATGTTTTGTTTTTTTGTTTCTTAAATAATATTGTCTGTGATTCCTATAAACATCGTAAAATCTTACGGTACATCGCGAAATATGTGTTATATTTTATATTTCAATTTATGGTACGTAACGCAGCAATTAATTTAATGACAGTTTCATATTTAAAAAAATTTAGCAATATAATCACCATATTGAGCTTTTGCAAATTCATCCCTTTAAAATAAACAAAACGCGCGTTACGTCAGTTCGTTATAAAAGAAACGTGACAATGGCAGCCAGAGATGCGTCACCTTTTTTTGTATGTGGCATGAATGGATGGAATTGACCAAACTGCAGGTCGCTTTATAATTAATGTTGCAGACAGTTCATTTGAATACACATCATAGTGAAGATACGAGTGATGATTGCACCGAATAAAAATTAAGTTCTTATATAATATTGAAAATAAAGTTTTGTCTTTTGAATAAGTACGTACTTATTCGATGTCGTTATCACTCGAATCTTTATATGGGTTATAAATTAACGCTTTTTGTTCTTAAATGAATAAAGTACTTTATAACAATAGATGATTTTTTCTTTTACAGCGATCTTTCACATAATTTTTAATAATAGTTATTAAATATATATTATATCAATCATTACAAAAAATAATAAAAAAAATCATTATAAATAAAGAAAGTACTACATATAAAATGTGCCTATATATTGAAGGTTTGTAACCCCTGGTTAAACGACCGAAAGGTCATTTTCCGGTTTTCTCAATCGATTTGGCATATACTATAGGATCAGAATCTTTTAGGTCTTACCTATATCGGCGTAGTAATTGCACAATAAATAATTCTTAGTTTTCTAAATAATTACAATGTCCGTATAAAGATAAGATAACTTAATGTCAATAAAATATTATGTAAATCTAATAATAATTATATTAGCACATATTAACAGATTATGAAGTATAACGTAATAATACCTAAAGTTTCGAATATTATAAACAGTAATAAATAACATACAATATAAAATTAGAGAAACATTGATATTTTTTATTAAATAACACGTCCATCTTATATGTGGTAGAGCCACGCTGCAGCTATATCGTGGTTGTAGTACGAATAGGTTAGCTTGACCGGGGAAATACCGCGCTCTCATAGAGTTCCAGCAAAAAATATGCTTTGTTCCGTATGGTGAGGGTAAAGAACCGGAGACACGTTTTACTGGAACCGAGGCATTCCATCTTAGTCCTCAGGGGTGACAACGCATCTGCATTTTGATTTTTAATCTAGATTTGAATGTAGATGTCTGTGGGCCACAGCATCCCATTACCAACAGGTGGACGATGTGCTCGTTTGTCACCCTTATTGTATAGTACCTGTGGGTAATATGGTCATTCGGATAATATGGTCACATCTTTATAAGTCAAAAACTACAACCTTGTTTGCATAGATGGCTTTATGATACGATAGCTCTTCATCGGTCAATCAAATAATAAAGAGTCAAAAAGGCGCGGCTTTGTCGACTCCATTTTGACAGTTGACATTATAGTAAATATTTTAGTCAATTTTAGTAAGGTGTAATGTAGTTATTTTTATTCAGTTGATTTTTCAAAGTGTTCGTAATCATTGCCAAAGCTTGTTTGTTTTTTTTTTCGTTAAGGTGACCGTATTACCTATGGTATTACCCTCACGTACCTTATAAAAATCTCTATTGTAACTTGTTCAAAGCAAAGAAGTTAGTCATTAATTAATGGATTTAGAAAATATATATATGTACATAATGGAATCAATACACAATGATATATATTATATTACTGTTGTAACTAATGTGTTTACCACTGAGTAAATTTAAATTTGTTAATATTTAATTGTTTTATATCTACGGTAGCTTGTTAAATATTTAGTTGCCATAAAAACAACTTTTCTAGGAATAGAGAGACATTATGTCTTTGTTGTGGTATTTAAAATTTACCTATAATTCGGCTGTCTTTTTCCTAACACTTAATTGTGTGATAGAATAGAAATAAGTTTAAATGCTTTTTCCCAAAAAGACATTTATAATATACATACATTCCCAAACAATCAATCTATATTATAAGAGGGATAATACGTCCTGATAAAATTCTGTGGCTCTAATTGATAAAAAAAAAAAGAATTATTGATTAAAAACCAATTTCGCTGTAAATTAAATGCGATAAAATCTGTATTTTATCGCATTTAATTTATTTGTAAAATATCAAATAAATTAAACGAGATAGTATCCGTAAAAGTAGTTTTTAGTCAATGTGTAGTATTCGCGTAAATATAAGAAATTATTATAAAAAACAATTATTTCACCTCATTTAAAGTATATTTTTTTACTAAACAGCGTATAATTGTAGGTTTGCAACTGGCCCAATGCAGTCGATTGTAGTAGATGGGTAACTCAAACTACAGAATATGTAGCAACGAAATATCCAGTGACTACAGACTCTATCAAAACGGATTATGTTACGGAGGATCCAACAGCTACAGGATCTGCATCAACTAAGCCTGTTACTACAGAGTCCGGAGCTAATCATACTGCAAACATAACTTCACCAGATTTAACAACTGATGTAACTGCGAGTACAAAGATTGATGTTGAATGTCCACCAGACTCCACAGCTACAATTTTATTGCCCCACGAAACAGATTGTTCTAAGTATTATGCATGCAGCAATGGTTATAAAATTTTGATGTCTTGTGCATCGGGGACCTTTTTTGATTTTAACGCACAGGTATAATAAGTTTTGTTAACTTTAAAAACACATCACCATGATCATCATCATTACAGTCCTTCACAAGACTATTGTTGAACATAGGCCTCCTCCAAGGAATGCCACAAAGCACGGTTTGCCTCACCTGCATCCATTGACTTCTTGCACGTCTTATCAGGTCGTTACTCCATCTGTGAGGTCGCCCTACACTTTACCTACCGGAACGAGGCTGCCACTTGAAAACATTTCTTCCCCATCAGTTATTGGTTCTTCGAGCTACAAGGGCATTGCTACTTCAGCTTATTAATTAGCTGGGCTATGTCGGTCACTCTGCACTACTGCGGATATCCTCATTTCTAAGTTTATCACGTGGAGAAACTCGGAGCATAGCCCACTCCATAGCTCGCTGAGCTACCTTGACCATGACCGTTTTTAATCTACTGGACTGGAAAGGATACGGTATTAACATCAATGGTGAATACATCACTTACTTTCGATTTGCCGACGATACAGTCCTTATGGCAGTATCTCAGAAGGACCTAAGCACTATGCTCAATGACCTTAATAGTGCCTCCCAACGGATGGCTTTTTAAAGCACATGTTCAGTTATTTACTGAAATCCCTCACAACGAATTTCGGTCATGGGGCCAGTATCAAAGGAGGCTAGCATCTGGGCGGGATGGCATTATAATGTACAAATGTGTGCGCAAGCACTAGTGAAATATTTATTTATTTAGAACCATCGAAGGGAGGTCAGGTGCATGATGAACTTTCTGACTCCATGCAGCAACTTGAAATTTCTTGACAGAAAATCCCAATAGCTGATTTTCAAATTTTATGGTCTGACATTCGAACTCATGACAATATAATCAGCAGTTGCACTTCCGATCACTAGACCAACAAAGCCATTAATTATTTATTTAATAATTAAATAAAGCCATATCTTCTTAGTTATTTCGTTTCATCAGTATCGTTATCACTACAAGCCCCTCATAAGCTCACTGTTAGACAAACGTTTCTTTCAAAGAATGCCACAAAGCGTTTCCAGCACCTATGCATATAACTTTTATTATTATAAATATGATCTAAATTTCAGGTATGTGATTGGCCACAAAAAGTGACTTGTGCAACTACAGCAACGACAGAATCTTTAGTAACAGTCGTTGAAACTGAAACTGAAACCTTGACAGAAAAAGCAACTATAAAATATTCTACACCTGTAGTAAATTATTCTACTGCAGATACTACAAGGTATGATTACACCAATGAGCCTGATATTACAAGTACCGAAGAATCTGTAGGAACTAATGATCCCACTCCTGATATTATAACACTAACAGATGATTATGAAACGAGTGCGACTTCTAAAGTGACAACAACTAAAGGCCATGGAACGGTACCTACAGCGACGACAGAATATTCAACGGCTAGTATTACTACCTCAGACAAACAAACAGCAACCGATCAAGTAACAGAAAATATCAAAACTACAAGTAAATTAGAAATAACTACTACAAACGAAGAAAAACAAGATACAACGACAGGACACAATTTGTCAACAGATATCATTACTACAACAATAAAATCACCAGAAGAAAGTGATAGAACGACTACCTTAGCACAAATAACAACGGACTTAGATAAGTCCTCATCTGTGCATGAAATTCCTGAACTTCAAACAACTACAGAATTACTCCGTACGACAAATACAGTTTTTTCAACTACCGAAAATAAACAATCCACAGAAAGTGAGTTGAGTACTACAGAAAGTTTACAAACTACGTCAAATTATGAGTCAACTACATTTTCAGAACCAAAAACGACTGAAAGTCTGGAATCAACCACATCAAATATTCATACTACAGAAGAACTTGTAACAATTACTGATAACTTTAGTACAGAAATATATGATACAACAACACAGCTTTTAGAAGTCACAGGAGATGATGCTGAAAAAACTACAAAGCTACCAGAAGTTTGCCCAGAAGGGCACTATGGAAACGTACCCCATCCTGAGTTGTGTGACTCGTTCTATATGTGTGCGAACGGAGTCGCTATACAGCTCTATTGCAGTAAAGATTTAGAATACGATCCTTCACTTGGAGTAAGTTTTCATACCATTCTAAATTAATTGTTTTTTTTATTTGCCTTAATTTTACCGGTATATAAGATCAACGATTAATAATGGTTTATTAAAAAATAGTTCAAGTAATCACCTCATACTCACTCTGCTGAGTAAGCGAAATGTCGGTTCTTTAATCACTATAAGCAAAAAGCTATATTGGTATTGTTACGTCCTGTTACTTTCCTTTATCTACTCAATTGCTGTTTATCAAACATTCCTTGTTTAGGGAGAAGCAGATGCACCACGCGCAGGTAACGTTGGTACTTGGAGAAAATACGTATGTATCCCCTTAAGACCTATCCCAACAGTACATTGCATTTGATTTTTGATCGTTGATTGGTCGTTGCGAACGATTGCCGAAAGCATCATAGGTAAATAAACTTGCATTTGTTACGTCATGTATATTTCAAATGCATCTCTTACAAAAGATATAAAATTTTACACTATGAGACTGAGACTGACTGACAGACTGAGGTCCATGAAAAAGTCTTTGATTCCGTCGAAACTTGGGCGGTGCTACAGTCCCTTCAGCGGTGCCAAGTGCACTGTCGGTATATCGAAGTGCTGGAGTGTTTGTACAGTAGGGCTACGATGGCTAACCGAGTATAAAACCAGAGTAAGAAACCTATCCAACTGCAGAGTGTAAAGTGTAAGACAAGGTGACGTTATATCCAGAAAACTCTTCACCGCTGCAATAGAAGACGTTTTCAAGCTACTGGGCTGGAAAGGATACGGTATTAACATCAATGGCGAGAACATCACTCTCCTTCGATTTGCCGACGATATAGTCCTCACGGCAGAATCGCTGGAGGACCTAAGCACTATGATCAATGACAACACAAAGATCACGTTTAATGTCCATGTCACACCTATGCCGGTAGTTGTTGGGAGAGCTAAGCTCGAAGTTGTTGACGAGTACGTTTACCTGGGACAAATAGTCCGACTAGGTAAGTCCAACTTCGACTGAGAGGTTAATCGACGGATTCAACTCGGCTGGGCAGCGTTCGGGAAATTACGACACATCTTCTCGTCAGCTGTACCTCAAAACCTGAAACCGAGACTGTACAACCAGTGCGTGTTGCCAGTGATGACTTATTGAACTGAGAAGTGGTCCTTTTCTACTGGCCGTATGCTATGCTCGGGGTTTCTCAGCGTGATAAACTTATAAAGTGAGGATATTCGCAGGAGAACCAGAGTGACCGACATAGCCCAACGGATTAGTAAGCTGAAGGGGCAATGGGCCGGCCATATAGCTAGAAGAACCGACAACAAATGGAAAAAAAAAGGTTCTCGTACCATGCATCGTACCGGTAGGCGAAGTATATGGCGACCCCCATTAGATAGAGTGACGACCTGGTAAGAGATAAAGGAAGTCGATGGATGCAGGTGGCACAGGGCCGTGCTTTGTGGCATATCTTTGGGGAGGCCTTTGTTCAGCAGTGGACTTTTGAAGGGCTGCAATGATGATGATGATGAATCATCATATTTGAACAGTATTTTTAAACAAAGTTTAGTCACAATTGTTACATAGTTCGTTTTAAATTAATTCGATATTATTTTAAACACATTTAATTTTACAGTATTGTGTCCCAGTCAGCAGCAACGGATGCACAGCTTCAAAAGGTATATTTCCTTTTTTAATTAAAATGAAGCTTTTCGTACCTTTAATTAAGAATATGATTAAGTACATCACCGTCTTTTACGTTCTTCAGTCTGGTAACAACAGTCGCTAACGTAATTTATCTAAAAGAAACTTTACAGAACGATAACAATCCCTATTGTACAGCAAATCATTAATATATGTTTATTAATTTATTTGTAAAATACACCAACAGCATACATATTTACAAAATTTAGAAAAATTATAATTTCTAAGTCTTAAGATGTGTCCCAATTAAAGGTACATAGAATATTTGCCTGCAATACATACATAATATAATTTATGCTTAAATAGTAAAATCACATAAAAAGAATGATGATTTATTGATTGATTAAAGAATGTTTAAGTCTGATAAGAGGTAGCTCAGGGATGACGTGTTCATTGTAAATTTAAAGAACACAGTCGTCATGTTGTCATTGTGACACAGTGAAAATACTTTTGTATCCCGAGTTTGATTTTCAACGACATCATTAAAATTGTTGTTTTTGTTTTATGTTACATGTCGTTTAAGCGATAAAACAGGAGCTAAAACTAAAATCTTGAAATCTTGTACAAATACTGATTCGCAGGCAGAAGTCTAGTCCTACCACATATTTGAAAATGTTCTACCATGTATGAAATTATATAAAAAAGACCTAAGTTTTAACGACAATTTTTACAGTGACATCAACAACCGACAATATTACGACAATATACGATTCTACAACAATTAGCGGGGCATCAACCCACCATGTCACGGATATTAGTACCGATCAAACACATACACTAACAACAGAAGCCACCGACTGGACACTGAGTACTGACGAAAACAATACTACTTCGGAAGGCCCTGCATCTACAACTTTTAAAATAGAAGAGACTACCAGTAATACTAAATATGAAAGTACATTAACAACATCAAAAGAAACGGTCCCTGAGGATACTACAAAAGTGTCACAAACTACAACTGAAACTGTACACACCATTGAATATTCTACGACAGAAAATCCGAAAATTACTTCAGATATATTGACCACTTTAGAGAATTCTCAGACGGACTCAACCCAATCTACTGTTGGAGAGATGTCAACGTCTGCACAACCTGTGACAGATAACGTACTATCTACAACATTGCAGACGAAAACTACAATCGGAGAAGAGAATTTACCTTCGAATCCATCTCAAACAACGGAAGATACGATAAATACTTTGAGCACTATTATTAATACCGTCGAGACGTCTTCGGAAATATATACAACTTCTCTGAGGGAATAACCACTGACAAAAATCAGCTATTACAAATGACGACGCACAAACAACAACTGTGAATATGGAGGCTACTACACAGGCTGCGATATGCCTGCCGGGTGCATTTGGTAATATTCCCCATCCGACTCTATGCAACTCATTCTATATGTGTACGGGAGGAATTCCGATACTGCTGCATTGCAGTGATGGATTCGAATTCGACCCAGAGATTTCCGTAAGTTTTAATTTTGTAAAATCTTGAAATTAACTTTACTAACTAATTTTACTACTAACGAATTTTTTTTTACAAATAGTAGTCACTATAATACTACTTTAAATATTTTTAGGACTGCGTACCGATTTCCGATAGTGGCTGTACCGCTTCAAGAGGTAAGTTCGTAAGAATTCAATATAATAACATTTTTATAAATGCTCTGCTACATCTAAAACCTAAGTGTAATTTTTTGTAACGTTGCAGTAATAAGCGAACTTACAGTCCCTGTGATGGTAAGTGGCTACTGCGGGCCACGCACACCTGCAATCATCTTCAAACACAGAATGCAAAAATGCTTTATCACTTTTTAAGACTAAGACGAAAAGCCTCGTAGCCTGTTATTATATTGGTTCTTTATGCCGTTAACACTGCAACACATCAGCGTACGCATTGCTTGTGGGAGGCAGAAAATGATAAGGGCGTATCACCTACTCATACTGATTTACAGGCAGAAAAGTAGTCCCACCACCTATTTGAAAATGTTCTACCATGTATGAAATTATATAAAAAGACCTAAGTTTTAACGACAATGTTTGCAGTGACATCAACCACCGACAGTATTACGACAATATACGATTCCACAACAATTAGCGGGGAATCAACCCACCATGTCACGGATATTAGTACCGATCAAACACATACACTAACAACAGAAGCCACCGACCGGACACTGAGTACTGACGAAAACAATACTACTTCGGAAGGCCCTGCATCTACAACTTTTAAAATAGAAGAGACTACCAGTAATACTAAATATGAAAGTACCTTAACAACATCAAAAGAAACGGTCCCTGAGGATACTACAAAAGTGTCACAAACTACAACTGAAACTGTACACACCATTGAATATTCTACGACAGAAAATCCGAAAATTACTTCAGATATATTGACCACTTTAGAGAATTCTCAGACGGACTCAACCCAATCTACTGTTGGAGAGATGTCAACATCTGCACAACCTGTGACAGATAACGTACTATCTACAACATTGCAGACGAAAACTACAATCGGAGAAGAGAATTTACCTTCGAATCCATCTCAAACAACGGAAGATACGATAAATACTTTGAGCACTATTATTAATACCGTCGAGACGTCTTCGGAAATATATACAACTTCTGCTGAGGGAATAACCACTGACAAATCAGCTATTACAAATGACGACGCACAAACAACAACTGTGAATATGGAGGCTACTACACAGGCTGCGATATGCCTGCCGGGTGCATTTGGTAATATTCCCCATCCGACTCTATGCAACTCATTCTATATGTGTACGGGAGGAATTCCGATACTGCTGCATTGCAGTGATGGATTCGAATTCGACCCAGAGATTTCCGTAAGTTTTAATTTTGTAAAATCTTGAAATTAACTTTACATAATTATACTAACGAATTTTTTTTTACAAATAGTAGTCACTATAATACTACTTTAAATATTTTTAGGACTGCGTACCGATATCCGATAGTGGCTGTACCGCTTCAAGAGGTAAGTTCGTAAGAATTCAATATAATAACATTTTTATTAATGCTCTGCTACATCTAAAACCTAAGTGTAATTTTTTGTAACGTTGCAGTAATAAGCGAACTTACAGTCCCTGTGATGGTAAGTGGCTACTGCGGGCCACGCACACCTGCAATCATCTTCAAACACAGAATGCAAAAATGCTTTATCACTTTTTAAGACTAAGACGAAAAGCCTCGTAGCCTGTTATTATATTGGTTCTTTATGCCGTTAACACTGCAACACATCAGCGTACGCATTGCTTGTGGGAGGCAGAAAATGATAAGTGCGTATCACCTACCAATACTGATTTACAGGCAGAAAAGTAGTCCCACCACCTATTTGAAAATGTTCTACCATGTATGAAATTATATTAAAAGACCCAAGTTTTAACGACAATTTTTACAGTGACACCAACCACCGACAGTATTACGACAGTATACGAATCTACAACAATTAGCGGGGAATCAACCCACCATGTCACGGATGTTAGTACCGATCAAACACATACACTAACAACAGAAGCCACCGACTGGACACTGAGTACTGACAAAAACAATACTACTTCGGAAGGCCCTGCATCTACAACTTTTAAAATAGAAGAGACTACCAGTAATACTAAATATGAAAGTACATTAACAACATCAAAAGAAACGGTCCCTGAGGATACTACAAAAGTGTCACAAACTACAACTGAAACTGTACACACCATTGAATATTCTACGACAGAAAATCCGAAAATTACTTCTGATATATTGACAACTTTAGAGAATTCTCAGACGGACTCAACCCAATCTACTGTTGGAGAGATGTCAACATCTGCACAACCTGTGACAGATAACGTACTATCTACAACATTGCAGACGAAAACTACAATCGGAGAAGAGAATTTACCTTCGAATCCATCTCAAACAACGGAAGATACGATAAATACTTTGAGCACTATTATTAATACCGTCGAGACGTCTTCGGAAATATATACAACTTCTGCTGAGGGAATAACCACTGAAAAATCAGCTATTACAAATGACGACGCACAAACAACAACTGTGAATATCGAGGCTACTACACAGGCTGCGATATGCCTGCCGGGTGCATTTGGTAATATTCCCCATCCGACTCTATGCAACTCATTCTATATGTGTACGGGAGGAATTCCGATACTGCTGCATTGCAGTGATGGATTCGAATTCGACCCAGAGATTTCCGTAAGTTTTAATTTTGTAAAATCTTGAAATTAACTTTACATAATTATACTAACGATTTTTTTTTACAAATAGTAGTCACTATAATACTACTTTAAATATTTTTAGGACTGCGTACCGATTTCCGATAGTGGTTGTACCGCTTCAAGAGGTAAGTTCGTAAGAATTCAATATAATAACATTTTTATAAATGCTCTGCTACATCTAAAACCTAAGTGTAATTTTTTGTAACGTTGCAGTAATAAGCGAACTTACAGTCCCTGTGATGGTAAGTGGCTACTGCGGGCCACGCACACCTGCAATCATCTTCAAACACAGAATGCAAAAATGCTTTATCACTTTTTAAGACTAAGACGAAAAGTCTCGTAGCCTGTTATTATATTGGTTCTTTATGCCGTTAACACTGCAACACATCAGCGTACGCATTGCTTGTGGGAGGCAGAAAATGATAAGTGTGTATTACCTACCAATACTGATTTACAGGCAGAAAAGTAGTCCCACCACCTATTTGAAAATGTTCTACCATGTATGAAATTATATAAAAATACATAAGTTTTAACGACAATTTTTGCAGTGACATCAACCACCGACAGTATTACGACAATATACGATTCCACAACAATTAGCGGGGAATCAACCCACCATGTCACGGATATTAGTACCGATCAAACACATACACTAACAACAGAAGCCACCGACCGGACACTGAGTACTGACGAAAACAATACTACTTCGGAAGGCCCTGCATCTACAACTTTTAAAATAGAAGAGACTACCAGTAATACTAAATATGAAAGTACATTAACAACATCAAAAGAAACGGTCCCTGAGGATACTCCAAAAGTGTCACAAACTACAACTGAAACTGTACACACCATTGAATATTCTACGACAGAAAATCCGAAAATTACTTCAGATATATTGAGCACTTTAGAGAATTCTCAGACGGACTCAACCCAATCTACTGTTGGAGAGATGTCAACGTCTGCACAACCTGTGACAGATAACGTACTATCTACAACATTGCAGACGAAAACTACAATCGGAGAAGAGAATTTACCTTCCAATCCATCTCAAACAACGGAAGATACGATAAATACTTTGAGCACTATTATTAATACCGTCGAGACGTCTTCGGAAATATATACAACTTCTCCTGAGGGAATAACGACTGACAAATCAGCTATTACAAATGACGACGCACAAACAACAACTGTGAATATGGAGGCTACTACACAGGCTGCGATATGCCTGCCGGGTGCATTTGGTAATATTCCCCATCCGACTCTATGCAACTCATTCTATATGTGTACGGGAGGAATTCCGATACTGCTGCATTGCAGTGATGGATTCGAATTCGACCCAGAGATTTCCGTAAGTTTTAATTTTGTAAAATCTTGAAATTAACTTTACATAATTATACTAACGAATTTTTTTTTACAAATAGTAGTCACTATAATACTACTTTAAATATTTTTAGGACTGCGTACCGATTTCCGATAGTGGCTGTACCGCTTCAAGAGGTAAGTTCGTAAGAATTCAATATAATAACATTTTTATAAATGCTCTGCTACATCTAAAACCTAAGTGTAATTTTTTGTAACGTTGCAGTAATAAGCGAACTTACAGTCCCTGTGATGGTAAGTGGCTACTGCGGGCCACGCACACCTGCAATCATCTTCAAACACAGAATGCAAAAATGCTTTATCACTTTTTAAGACTAAGACGAAAAGCCTCGTAGCCTGTTATTATATTGGTTCTTTATGCCGTTAACACTGCAACACATCAGCGTACGCATTGCTTGTGGGAGGCAGAAAATGATAAGGGTGTATTACCTACCCATACTGATTTACAGGCAGAAAAGTAGTCCCACCACCTATTTGAAAATGTTCTACCATGTATGAAATTATATAAAAATACCTAAGTTTTAACGACAATTTTTACAGTGACATCAACCACCGACAGTATTACGACAATATACGAATCTACAACAATTAGCGCGGAATCAACCCACCATGTCACGGATATTAGTACCGATCAAACACATACACTAACAACAGAAGCCACCGACCGGACACTGAGTACTGACAAAAACAATACTACTTCGGAAGGCCCTGCATCTACAACTTTTAAAATAGAAGAGACTACCAGTAATACTAAATATGAAAGTACATTAACAACATCAAAAGAAACGGTCCCTGAGGATACTCCAAAAGTGTCACAAACTACAACTGAAACTGTACACACCATTGAATATTCTACGACAGAAAATCCGAAAATTACTTCAGATATATTGACCACTTTAGAGAATTCTCAGACGGACTCAACCCAATCTACTGTTGGAGAGATGTCAACGTCTGCACAACCTGTGACAGATAACGTACTATCTACAACATTGCAGACGAAAACTACAATCGGAGAAGAGAATTTACCTTCGAATCCATCTCAAACAACGGAAGATACGATAAATACTTTGAGCACTATTATTAATACCGTCGAGACGTCTTCGGAAATATATACAACTTCTCCTGAGGGAATAACCACTGAAAAATCAGCTATTACAAATGACGACGCACAAACAACAACTGTGAATATCGAGGCTACTACACAGGCTGCGATATGCCTGCCGGGTGCATTTGGTAATATTCCCCATCCGACTCTATGCAACTCATTCTATATGTGTACGGGAGGAATTCCGATACTGCTGCATTGCAGTGATGGATTCGAATTCGACCCAGAGATTTCCGTAAGTTTTAATTTTGTAAAATCTTGAAATTAACTTTACATAATTATACTAACGAATTTTTTTTTACAAATAGTAGTCACTATAATACTACTTTAAATATTTTTAGGACTGCGTACCGATTTCCGATAGTGGTTGTACCGCTTCAAGAGGTAAGTTCGTAAGAATTCAATATAATAACATTTTTATAAATGCTCTGCTACATCTAAAACCTAAGTGTAATTTTTTGTAACGTTGCAGTAATAAGCGAACTTACAGTCCCTGTGATGGTAAGTGGCTACTGCGGGCCACGCACACCTGCAATCATCTTCAAACACAGAATGCAAAAATGCTTTATCACTTTTTAAGACTAAGACGAAAAGCCTCGTAGCCTGTTATTATATTGGTTCTTTATGCCGTTAACACTGCAACACATCAGCGTACGCATTGCTTGTGGGAGGCAGAAAATGATAAGGGTGTATTACCTACCAATACTGATTTACAGGCAGAAAAGTAGTCCCACCACCTATTTGAAAATGTTCTACCATGTATGAAATTATATAAAAATACATAAGTTTTAACGACAATGTTTGCAGTGACATCAACCACCGACAGTATTACGACAATATACGATTCCACAACAATTAGCGGGGAATCAACCCACCATGTCACGGATATTAGTACCGATCAAACACATACACTAACAACAGAAGCCACCGACCGGACACTGAGTACTGACGAAAACAATACTACTTCGGAAGGCCCTACATCTACAACTTTTAAAATAGAAGAGACTACCAGTAATACTAAATATGAAAGTACATTAACAACATCAAAAGAAACGGTCCCTGAGGATACTACAAAAGTGTCACAAACTACAACTGAAACTGTACACACCATTGAATATTCTACGACAGAAAATCCGAAAATTACTTCAGATATATTGAGCACTTTAGAGAATTCTCAGACGGACTCAACCCAATCTACTGTTGGAGAGATGTCAACATCTGCACAACCTGTGACAGATAACGTACTATCTACAACATTGCAGACGAAAACTACAATCGGAGAAGAGAATTTACCTTCGAATCCATCTCAAACAACGGAAGATACGATAAATACTTTGAGCACTATTATTAATACCGTCGAGACGTCTTCGGAAACATATACAACTTCTGCTGAGGGAATAACCACTGAAAAATCAGCTATTACAAATGACGACGCACAAACAACAACTGTGAATATCGAGGCTACTACACAGGCTGCGATATGCCTGCCGGGTGCATTTGGTAATATTCCCCATCCGACTCTATGCAACTCATTCTATATGTGTACGGGAGGAATTCCGATACTGCTGCATTGCAGTGATGGATTCGAATTCGACCCAGAGATTTCCGTAAGTTTTAATTTTGTAAAATCTTGAAATTAACTTTACATAATTATACTAACGAATTTTTTTTTACAAATAGTAGTCACTATAATACTACTTTAAATATTTTTAGGACTGCGTACCGATTTCCGATAGTGGTTGTACCGCTTCAAGAGGTAAGTTCGTAAGAATTCAATATAATAACATTTTTATAAATGCTTTGTTACATTTAAATCTTAAGTGTTATTTTGTATAACGTTGAATAAGCGAACTTACAGTCCCTGTGATGGTAAGTGGCTACTGCGGGCCACGCACACCTGCAATCATCTTCAAACACAGAATGCAAAAATGCTTTATCACTTTTTAAGACTAAGACGAAAAGCCTCGTAGCCTGTTATTATATTGGTTCTTTATGCCGTTAACACTGCAACACATCAGCGTACGCATTGCTTGTGGGAGGCAGAAAATGATAAGTGTGTATTACCTACCAATACTGATTTACAGGCAGAAAAGTAGTCCCACCACCTATTTGAAAATGTTCTACCATGTATGAAATTATATAAAAATACATAAGTTTTAACGACAATTTTTGCAGTGACATCAACCACCGACAGTATTACGACAATATACGATTCCACAACAATTAGCGGGGAATCAACCCACCATGTCACGGATATTAGTACCGATCAAACACATACACTAACAACAGAAGCCACCGACCGGACACTGAGTACTGATGAAAACAATACTACTTCGGAAGGCCCTACATCTACAACTTTTAAAATAGAAGAGACTACCAGTAATACTAAATATGAAAGTACATTAACAACATCAAAAGAAACGGTCCCTGAGGATACTACAAAAGTGTCACAAACTACAACTGAAACTGTACACACCATTGAATATTCTACGACAGAAAATCCGAAAATTACTTCAGATATATTGACCACTTTAGAGAATTCTCAGACGGACTCAACCCAATCTACTGTTGGAGAGATGTCAACATCTGCACAACCTGTGACAGATAACGTACTATCTACAACATTGCAGACGAAAACTACAATCGGAGAAGAGAATTTACCTTCGAATCCATCTCAAACAACGGAAGATACGATAAATACTTTGAGCACTACTATTAATACCGTCGAGACGTCTTCGGAAATATATACAACTTCTCCTGAGGGAATAACCACTGACAAATCAGCTATTACAAATGACGACGCACAAACAACAACTGTGAATATCGAGGCTACTACACAGGCTGCGATATGCCTGCCGGGTGCATTTGGTAATATTCCCCATCCGACTCTATGCAACTCATTCTATATGTGTACGGGAGGAATTCCGATACTGCTGCATTGCAGTGATGGATTCGAATTCGACCCAGAGATTTCCGTAAGTTTTAATTTTGTAAAATCTTGAAATTAACTTTACATAATTATACTAACGATTTTTTTTTACAAATAGTAGTCACTATAATACTACTTTAAATATTTTTAGGACTGCGTACCGATTTCCGATAGTGGTTGTACCGCTTCAAGAGGTAAGTTCGTAAGAATTCAATATAATAACATTTTTATAAATGCTCTGCTACATCTAAAACCTAAGTGTAATTTTTTGTAACGTTGCAGTAATAAGCGAACTTACAGTCCCTGTGATGGTAAGTGGCTACTGCGGGCCACGCACACCTGCAATCATCTTCAAACACAGAATGCAAAAATGCTTTATCACTTTTTAAGACTAAGACGAAAAGCCTCGTAGCCTGTTATTATATTGGTTCTTTATGCCGTTAACACTGCAACACATCAGCGTACGCATTGCTTGTGGGAGGCAGAAAATGATAAGGGTGTATTACCTACTCATACAGATTTACAGGCAGAAAAGTAGTCCCACCACCTATTTGAAAATGTTCTACCATGTATGAAATTATATAAAAAGACCTAAGTTTTAACGACAATTTTTACAGTGACATCAACCACCGACAGTATTACGACAATATACGAATCTACAACAATTAGCGGGGAATCAACCCACCATGTCACGGATGTTAGTACCGATCAAACACATACACTAACAACAGAAGCCACCGACTGGACACTGAGTACTGACAAAAACAATACTACTTCGGAAGGCCCTGCATCTACAACTTTTAAAATAGAAGAGACTACCAGTAATACTAAATATGAAAGTACATTAACAACATCAAAAGAAACGGTCCCTGAGGATACTACAAAAGTGTCACAAACTACAACTGAAACTGTACACACCATTGAATATTCTACGACAGAAAATCCGAAAATTACTTCAGATATATTGACCACTTTAGAGAATTCTCAGACGGACTCAACCCAATCTACTGTTGGAGAGATGTCAACATCTGCACAACCTGTGACAGATAACGTACTATCTACAACATTGCAGACGAAAACTACAATCGGAGAAGAGAATTTACCTTCGAATCCATCTCAAACAACGGAAGATACGATAAATACTTTGAGCACTATTATTAATACCGTCGAGACGTCTTCGGAAATATATACAACTTCTCCTGAGGGAATAACCACTGACAAATCAGCTATTACAAATGACGACGCACAAACAACAACTGTGAATATCGAGGCTACTACACAGGCTGCGATATGCCTGCCGGGTGCATTTGGTAATATTCCCCATCCGACTCTATGCAACTCATTCTATATGTGTACGGGAGGAATTCCGATACTGCTGCATTGCAGTGATGGATTCGAATTCGACCCAGAGATTTCCGTAAGTTTTAATTTTGTAAAATCTTGAAATTAACTTTACATAATTATACTAACGATTTTTTTTTACAAATAGTAGTCACTATAATACTACTTTAAATATTTTTAGGACTGCGTACCGATTTCCGATAGTGGTTGTACCGCTTCAAGAGGTAAGTTCGTAAGAATTCAATATAATAACATTTTTATAAATGCTCTGCTACATCTAAAACCTAAGTGTAATTTTTTGTAACGTTGCAGTAATAAGCGAACTTACAGTCCCTGTGATGGTAAGTGGCTACTGCGGGCCACGCACACCTGCAATCATCTTCAAACACAGAATGCAAAAATGCTTTATCACTTTTTAAGACTAAGACGAAAAGCCTCGTAGCCTGTTATTATATTGGTTCTTTATGCCGTTAACACTGCAACACATCAGCGTACGCATTGCTTGTGGGAGGCAGAAAATGATAAGGGCGTATCACCTACTCATACTGATTTACAGAAAGAAAAGTAGTCCCACCACCTATTTGAAAATGTTCTACCATGTATGAAATTATATTAAAAGACCTAAGTTTTAACGACAATTTTTGCAGTGACATCAACCACCGACAGTATTACGACAGTATACGAATCTACAACAATTAGCGGGGAATCAACCCACCATGTCACGGATATTAGTACCGATCAAACACATACACTAACAACAGAAGCCACCGACCGGACACTGAGTACTGACAAAAACAATACTACTTCGGAAGGCCCTGCATCTACAACTTTTAAAATAGAAGAGACTACCAGTAATACTAAATATGAAAGTACATTAACAACATCAAAAGAAACGGTCCCTGAGGATACTACAAAAGTGTCACAAACTACAACTGAAACTGTACACACCATTGAATATTCTACGACAGAAAATCCGAAAATTACTTCAGATATATTGACCACTTTAGAGAATTCTCAGACGGACTCAACCCAATCTACTGTTGGAGAGATGTCAACGTCTGCACAACCTGTGACAGATAACGTACTATCTACAACATTGCAGACGAAAACTACAATCGGAGAAGAGAATTTACCTTCGAATCCATCTCAAACAACGGAAGATACGATAAATACTTTGAGCACTACTATTAATACCGTCGAGACGTCTTCGGAAATATATACAACTTCTGCTGAGGGAATAACCACTGACAAATCAGCTATTACAAATGACGACGCACAAACAACAACTGTGAATATCGAGGCTACTACACAGGCTGCGATATGCCTGCCGGGTGCATTTGGTAATATTCCCCATCCGACTCTATGCAACTCATTCTATATGTGTACGGGAGGAATTCCGATACTGCTGCATTGCAGTGATGGATTCGAATTCGACCCAGAGATTTCCGTAAGTTTTAATTTTGTAAAATCTTGAAATTAACTTTACATAATTATACTAACGATTTTTTTTTACAAATAGTAGTCACTATAATACTACTTTAAATATTTTTAGGACTGCGTACCGATTTCCGATAGTGGTTGTACCGCTTCAAGAGGTAAGTTCGTAAGAATTCAATATAATAACATTTTTATAAATGCTCTGCTACATCTAAAACCTAAGTGTAATTTTTTGTAACGTTGCAGTAATAAGCGAACTTACAGTCCCTGTGATGGTAAGTGGCTACTGCGGGCCACGCACACCTGCAATCATCTTCAAACACAGAATGCAAAAATGCTTTATCACTTTTTAAGACTAAGACGAAAAGCCTCGTAGCCTGTTATTATATTGGTTCTTTATGCCGTTAACACTGCAACACATCAGCGTACGCATTGCTTGTGGGAGGCAGAAAATGATAAGTGTGTATTACCTACCAATACTGATTTACAGGCAGAAAAGTAGTCCCACCACCTATTTGAAAATGTTCTACCATGTATGAAATTATATAAAAATACATAAGTTTTAACGACAATTTTTGCAGTGACATCAACCACCGACAGTATTACGACAATATACGATTCCACAACAATTAGCGGGGAATCAACCCACCATGTCACGGATATTAGTACCGATCAAACACATACACTAACAACAGAAGCCACCGACCGGACACTGAGTACTGATGAAAACAGTACTACTTCGGAAGGCCCTGCATCTACAACTTTTAAAATAGAAGAGACTACCAGTAATACTAAATATGAAAGTACATTAACAACATCAAAAGAAACGGTCCCTGAGGATACTCCAAAAGTGTCACAAACTACAACTGAAACTGTACACACCATTGAATATTCTACGACAGAAAATCCGAAAATTACTTCAGATATATTGACCACTTTAGAGAATTCTCAGACGGACTCAACCCAATCTACTGTTGGAGAGATGTCAACGTCTGCACAACCTGTGACAGATAACGTACTATCTACAACATTGCAGACGAAAACAACAATCGGAGAAGAGAATTTACCTTCGAATCCATCTCAAACAACGGAAGATACGATAAATACTTTGAGCACTATTATTAATACCGTCGAGACGTCTTCGGAAATATATACAACTTCTGCTGAGGGAATAACCACTGAAAAATCAGCTATTACAAATGACGACGCACAAACAACAACTGTGAATATGGAGGCTACTACACAGGCTGCGATATGCCTGCCGGGTGCATTTGGTAATATTCCCCATCCGACTCTATGCAACTCATTCTATATGTGTACGGGAGGAATTCCGATACTGCTGCATTGCAGTGATGGATTCGAATTCGACCCAGAGATTTCCGTAAGTTTTAATTTTGTAAAATCTTGAAATTAACTTTACATAATTATACTAACGAATTTTTTTTTACAAATAGTAGTCACTATAATACTACTTTAAATATTTTTAGGACTGCGTACCGATTTCCGATAGTGGTTGTACCGCTTCAAGAGGTAAGTTCGTAAGAATTCAATATAATAACATTTTTATAAATGCTCTGCTACATCTAAAACCTAAGTGTAATTTTTTGTAACGTTGCAGTAATAAGCGAACTCACAGTCCCTGTGATGGTAAGTGGCTACTGCGGGCCACGCACACCCGCAATCATCTTCAAACACAGAAGGCAAAAATGCTTTATCACTTTTTAAGACTAAGACGAAAAGCCTCGTAGCCTGTTATTATATTGGTTCTTTATGCCGTTAACACTGCAACACATCAGCGTACGCATTGCTTGTGGGAGGCAGAAAATGATAAGTGTGTATTACCTACCAATACTGATTTACAGGCGGAAAAGTAGTCCCACCACCTATTTGAAAATGTTCTACCATGTATGAAATTATATAAAAATACATAAGTTTTAACGACAATTTTTGCAGTGACATCAACCACCGACAGTATTACGACAATATACGATTCCACAACAATTAGCGGGGAATCAACCCACCATGTCACGGATATTAGTACCGATCAAACACATACACTAACAACAGAAGCCACCGACCGGACACTGAGTACTGACGAAAACAATACTACTTCGGAAGGCCCTACATCTACAACTTTTAAAATAGAAGAGACTACCAGTAATACTAAATATGAAAGTACATTAACAACATCAAAAGAAACGGTCCCTGAGGATACTACAAAAGTGTCACAAACTACAACTGAAACTGTACACACCATTGAATATTCTACGACAGAAAATCCGAAAATTACTTCAGATATATTGAGCACTTTAGAGAATTCTCAGACGGACTCAACCCAATCTACTGTTGGAGAGATGTCAACGTCTGCACAACCTGTGACAGATAACGTACTATCTACAACATTGCAGACGAAAACTACATTCGGAGAAGAGAATTTACCTTCCAATCCATCTCAAACAACGGAAGATACGATAAATACTTTGAGCACTATTATTAATACCGTCGAGACGTCTTCGGAAATATATACAACTTCTCCTGAGGGAATAACGACTGAAAAATCAGCTATTACAAATGACGACGCACAAACAACAACTGTGAATATCGAGGCTACTACACAGGCTGCGATATGCCTGCCGGGTGCATTTGGTAATATTCCCCATCCGACTCTATGCAACTCATTCTATATGTGTACGGGAGGAATTCCGATACTGCTGCATTGCAGTGATGGATTCGAATTCGACCCAGAGATTTCCGTAAGTTTTAATTTTGTAAAATCTTGAAATTAACTTTACATAATTATACTAACGAATTTTTTTTACAAATAGTAGTCACTATAATACTACTTTAAATATTTTTAGGACTGCGTACCGATTTCCGATAGTGGTTGTACCGCTTCAAGAGGTAAGTTCGTAAGAATTCAATATAATAACATTTTTATAAATGCTCTGCTACATCTAAAACCTAAGTGTAATTTTTTGTAACATTGCAGTAATAAGCGAACTTACAGTCCCTGTGATGGTAAGTGGCTACTGCGGGCTACGCACACCCGCAATCATCTTCAAACACAGAAGGCAAAAATGCTTTACCACTTTTTAAGACTAAGACGAAAAGCCTCGTAGCCTGTTATTATATTGGTTCTTTATGCCGTTAACACTGCAACACATCAGCGTACGCATTGCTTGTGGGAGGCAGAAAATGATAAGTGTGTATTACCTACCAATACTGATTTACAGGCAGAAAAGTAGTCCCACCACCTATTTGAAAATGTTCTACCATGTATGAAATTATATAAAAATACCTAAGTTTTAACGACAATTTTTACAGTGACATCAACCACCGACAGTATTACGACAATATACGATTCCACAACAATTAGCGGGGAATCAACCCACCATGTCACGGATATTAGTACCGATCAAACACATACACTAACAACAGAAGCCACCGACCGGACACTGAGTACTGATGAAAACAATACTACTTCGGAAGGCCCTGCATCTACAACTTTTAAAATAGAAGAGACTACCAGTAATACTAAATATGAAAGTACATTAACAACATCAAAAGAAACGGTCCCTGGGGATACTCCAAAAGTGTCACAAACTACAACTGAAACTGTACACACCATTGAATATTCTACGACAGAAAATCCGAAAATTACTTCAGATATATTGACCACTTTAGAGAATTCTCAGACGGACTCAACCCAATCTACTGTTGGAGAGATGTCAACGTCTGCACAACCTGTGACAGATAACGTACTATCTACAACATTGCAGACGAAAACTACATTCGGAGAAGAGAATTTACCTTCGAATCCATCTCAAACAACGGAAGATACGATAAATACTTTGAGCACTATTATTAATACCGTCGAGACGTCTTCGGAAATATATACAACTTCTGCTGAGGGAATAACCACTGAAAAATCAGCTATTACAAATGACGACGCACAAACAACAACTGTGAATATGGAGGCTACTACACAGGCTGCGATATGCCTGCCGGGTGCATTTGGTAATATTCCCCATCCGACTCTATGCAACTCATTCTATATGTGTACGGGAGGAATTCCGATACTGCTGCATTGCAGTGATGGATTCGAATTCGACCCAGAGATTTCCGTAAGTTTTAATTTTGTAAAATCTTGAAATTAACTTTACATAATTATACTAACGATTTTTTTTACAAATAGTAGTCACTATAATACTACTTTAAATATTTTTAGGACTGCGTGCCGATTTCCGATAGTGGTTGTACCGCTTCAAGAGGTAAGTTCGTAAGAATTCAATATAATAACATTTTTATAAATGCTCTGCTACATCTAAAACCTAAGTGTAATTTTGTATAACGTTGCAGTAATAAGCGAACTTACAGTCCCTGTGATGGTAAGTGGCTACTGCGGGCCACGCACACCTGCAATCATCTTCAAACACAGAATGCAAAAATGCTTTATCACTTTTTAAGACTAAGACGAAAAGCCTCGTAGCCTGTTATTATATTGGTTCTTTATGCCATTAACACCGCAACACATCAGCGTACGCATTGCTTGTGGGAGGCAGAAAATGATAAAGGCTTATTACCTACCCATACTGATTTACAGGCAGAAAAGTAGTCCCACCACCTATTTGAAAATGTTCTACCATGTATGAAATTATATAAAAGACCTAAGTTTTAACGACAATTTTTACAGTGACATCAACCACCGACAGTATTACGACAATATACGATTCTTCAACAATTAGCGGGGAATCAACCCACCATGTCACGGATATTAGTACCGATCAAACTCATACACTAACAACAGAAGCCACCGACTGGACACTGAATACTCACGAAAACAATACTACTTCGGAAGGCCCTGCATCTACAACTTTTAAAATAGAAGAGACTACCATTAATACTAAATATGAAAGTACATTAACAACATCAGAAGAAATTGTCCCTGAGTATACTACAAAAGTGTCACAAACTACAACTGAAACTGTACACACCACTGAATATTCTACGACAGAAAACCCGAAAATTACTTCAGATATATTGACCACTTTAGAGAATTCTCAGACGGACTCAACCCAATCTACTGTTGGAGAGATGTCAACGTCTGCACAACCTGTGACAGATAACGTACTATCTACAACATTGCAGACGAAAACTACAATCGGAGAAGAGAATTTACCTTCGAATCCATCTCAAACAACGGAAGATACGATAAATACTTTGAGCACTATTATTAATACCGTCGAGACGTCTTCGGAAATATATACAACTTCTGCTGAGGGAATAACCACTGAAAAATCAGCTATTACAAATGACGACGCACAAACAACAACTGTGAATATCGAGGCTACTACACAGGCTGCGATATGCCTGCCGGGTGCATTTGGTAATATTCCCCATCCGACTCTATGCAACTCATTCTATATGTGTACGGGAGGAATTCCGATACTGCTGCATTGCAGTGATGGATTCGAATTCGACCCAGAGATTTCCGTAAGTTTTTACTTTGCTAAATATAATTTGTATTAATTATGATGGTATAGGACTTATTTAATTAAATCACCCACAGGATGATATGGGTTTATGGATTCGCTTAAGCCGCCATTACACTGCTTGACATCTTTAATATTTTTTTAATTTTCAATAATATCTCGACCAGTTAATTCATGATTAGGAATATAGCTGAAAAATCTATTGTTTTGTGACTATCAGTATATCTTATAATGAGTTGGAGTTATGTTTTGACTTGACTAATCTAAATCTCCACCCGATTTTTTTAAGTTTAGGAAATTTCCCCTTCATTACTAGAAGATTCCTACTAAATTTAAATTAGGTTTGAGAAAGTAATAATGATCCCAGTTTTCGCTGTTTTAAAAAAAAATATAACTTATTTTCCGTTTTCTTTCAGCAATGTGTACCAATATCTGAAAACGGATGTACAGCGCAAGGAGGTTCGTATACAACAATAAAATTAAATAGTTTAAATTTATTCAATAAAATCTTACTTTAAATTCTTTAAAGCTTAAGGTTAGGATATTGCACATAATGCTGTTAACAATAATTAAAATATGAAACGCTTACTAAAATCTCTACTCAGAGTTTTGTTCAATGATTTGAAAGAAAACTTTATTTTTCTTTTAGTCAGTACTACGCAAGCTAAACCTGAAAATTATGATACATCAACAGTAAGTGTTGATGATGTTAATACGAATTCAAGTTCAAAAGAAATGACATTTATACAAACTGAGTTTACAACCGAAAGAATGGATTCAACTAGATATGAATTAGATTACACAACGAAACGGGAGACATTAGAACAAGGAGATACAACTATTCCATTAAAAACCACGACAGTAGTAGAAATATGTCCACCTGGCGTATTCGGCAATGTTGCACATCCTGATTTATGCAGCTACTTTTATATGTGTACTGGTGGAATGGCAATTGAACTCCATTGTAGCCCTGGATTCGAATTTGATCCTGTGCTTTCCGTAAGTAGAATTTTTTTTAAAAAAACTTCTATCCCCTTTATTTTTCACTTATTACAGATTATCCAATATCCACTGCTAACCATAAGCTTATATGCCTCCCCCAAAGATAGCCTTGTAAGAGAGAGAGTTTACCATAGTTGCTAGTTGCCACGCTTGGCAAAGGGGTAGGCCTATTCGTTGTTTTTTTTTTTGATTTTTTAAATTTTCGGTTACTATCAAGAAGTTAATGATACCCTCGTGATAACATAAGATAATGGATACTCCTACATTGCCACTACACTTTGTCTCTTAATTTGTTTTATAAAGGTTGCCCTATACTAGAAATTTCTCTTGTATCTTGGGGGCATTTGCTTGTCCTTAGTTGTCGCGACGGACACAAAAAAAGTTTTAAAACGTCAGTCTTGTGTTTGCAAAGGTAAGATAAGATTTACAGTAAATCTCTATTGGAATGACATGCGAAACACACAGTAATTTGTTAGATGTAGGTGTCTTAGAACAGTGGTTTATATTATTCTTAGAGACAGATGGGCTTTGTGGTTACGCATTGGCATAGTAAAACAGAATACTTACATGCCTACTAGACTTAAATGCCTACTGTTGTAGGGTCGTCATTGTCTTTTTGTTTGACAGGAAAGTCTCATTTAGTTTTATAAGTACATAGTTATAATATTTACGTACGGATACGTGCCTATGGATCATATTATTTGGTATTCATTTCTTTAGTTTCCTCTCAAAGAATCAAGGTTTGTCAAAAAATCCTGCTTTACATTACAACAAATTCCAAATAACTAAAATACGAGTAAATTAACACTCAGCATATGAACATATAATGTTCATATGCTGATTTAATTTTTAAAATTAATTTGATGTGATGTCATATGATAATTAATGTACTTATGAGGTATGTATTTATGTATACTTATAGTAATATAACCTATTAATAAAAAGCTAATTTACTTAAAAATACCCATATATTAATTTATTTTACAAAATGATAAAATAAAACGAAAAAAAAAGACTGCTAGTAAATTTTTATTAAAAGTCAACAAAGTCTCAACGGTGATTGTGGAGCGCGGCGGTGGTCGTCCTAGACTCAGCCAGACCTTTCCGACTTAGCAAGTGTCGTTGTGTGCGAGCTGTGGCTCGCGCGTACGAGTCCGTACTGTCACATGTCAGGCACACATATTAGCGCTGTTCGGTACATTTCAATGGCATAGTAAAAACAGAATGGTAGGCTTTCTTGGCCTACCATTCTGTTTTTACTATGCCATTGGAAGCCTGTATGGTTTTTACGTTCCCATCTCGGATTAATAATTATACGATAAATTTGAAATAAAATTTGAATGTCTCATTTGAGATACCAAATCCAATGGCATTGTGCTGCCATTTTAGTGGTTATTCAGAGATATTGCAAGCCACCTCGATCGACCGATTCGTGATTGACCTAGGGGTGGCAAACGAGTATTTTATTATATACTAGCTGTACCCGCGGCTTCGCCCGCATGGTCACTGGGAAATAAACTATCCATTGATTTTTGAATTGAAAGAAAACTGAGTTTTATAGATTTGTCAGAGATGCAGCCATTAAAAGGAAACTGAGCAAAATTGATTCGTCAGCCTATTTAAATGTTTTGAAACGCAGCGTATAGGAAAGCATGAAAATAGCCTGTTTATTCCAAATGGAAATGGGATATTTTTTTAATTAAAGAAAACTGAGCATAATTATCCGTCAGGGATGCAGACGTTTGAAAAGAAACTGAGCTAAATTGATTCGTCAGAAATGAAGTTTTCTGAATTCAAAGGAAACTGAGCCAAATAAAAGATCCGTCAGAGATGCAGCCTTTTGAGTTGAAAGGAAACTGAGCTTAATAGGTCCGTCAGAGGTGCAGCATTTGGAATTGAAAAGAAACTGAGCTAAATAGGAAATTTTGAATTGAAAGGGAAGATCTGTGGGAATTCTGATTAATTGATTGTGGGAATTTTGGAAAAAAAAACTAACTGAACACTATTTTAAGACGATACTGTACACAATGTTATATGTTTTTCCATTCGGGGAAAGAATGTGGAGATTCTGGGCATTTGACACACGCGAACATGCTACATACAGCTGACCATGAGAGAAGCACGGTTTTTCTAAGTTGACCCCCACTACCTGTAACGTTTGCCCTTGCGCTTTATTAATTGTCATTGCAAAACTGAGCTTAATGGGGAACTGCAACCTTTTGAATGGAAAAGGAAGATCTGTGGGAATTATAGGGATTTCCGTGGTATAATAACATTTTCACCTTTTCCTACGCCTGTCAAAATTGTAGCACCGATTATGTTCCGTCCAAGATGTGTCACACCCAGTCTTGTCCCGTTACATAACCGAGGAGCATCTAAATTTCGCATTAGCATGACTGGGACGCCTAATTTTAATTGAAGCTTATGTGAGAGCACACCTGAAAACTCTAGAGAATTTAGAAACTCTGCGGGATATGAAGTGCTCTGTTCTGTGTCCATAACTGTGTCTACTGACAAATACTCTGTTATTTCTCCTGCTACTTCGCTTAATATATCTGAATTTATTTTGTTAACGCTCTCATTTTTTGGTGCAAGAATCGCCCTTTCACATAACCATTTGTCTTCATGCATGTTGTTCGTTAAATCTGAATAAACGCTCGCAATTAATTCGGAATGACTCTGTACGAAATTACAAAAATCTCTCGTCAATTTAACGCAGCCCTCAGCATCCGTTTCCAACCGCCCATCGCCAATTTTTAATAGTGTGTCAGCATAGTTTCTAGCATTGATATCATTATACAAATGCACTCTCATATTCGTAGTTAAACTGAATTTTGTCACCTTGTTCCATAAAATAGACGACTTGAGGCATGCTTTAATTTCATCTGCAGGTGTGTTCATTTGAATGACAGGTAAAATTTGGCGAAAGTCACCAGCCAGTAAAACCACCATTCCTCCCATTACATCGGTATTGCTGCGCAAATCCTGGAGCGTTCGATATAGTGCTTCTACAGCTTTTTTATGCGACATTGTGCTTTCGTCCCACACTAAAAGTTTTCACTGTCGTAGCATTATACCTCGTGCACTATTTTTGCTAAAGTTGCAGATCGGCGATTCTTCCTGGGCTAGATTTAGAGGGAGTTTTAAAACAGAATGTGCAGTGCGGCCCCCGCTTAGCAGCGTGGCGGCTATACCGGAAGAAGCTACGGCCACAGCAATGTTTTTATCTTTCCGTACTTGCGCTAATAATAAATTTAACAAAAATGTCTTCCCAGTTCCTCCAGGGGCATCTAAAAAGAAAAGTGCACCATTTCCAGATTCAATTTGTCCTAATACTTTGTCAAAACTTGTTTTTGTTTGGGAAGCAAGCGGGGTACAAATTCGGCTACTTGCTGCTGCAAAGCTGGTATATCGTAGTTTGTTTCACGTATAATTTCATCACTTAGTTCATTTTCGGTTGTTCGCTGAGGGCTTATCATTCCAAAGTCGCTTAATTTTTTGCCTACCATTGCCATTACTTTATCTTCAATTTTTCCAAGTGCTTCATTATAAATGTGTTCATTGTATGTCATGTTCGCGTGTGTCTGCTGTAACCTTCGCAAAATATCTTCCGCCATGTACTCTTTATATTTGTCCCACAATTCATGTGCATTAGATAGCCCGCAAGATGATATGAGAGTTGCATAAAGATCCCTAATTTTGGCTGGTGACTGGCACTGCACAGCTTTCTCCATGGTTTCATCCCAGTGATTATCATTTTCTAAAAGATGCAGAGATTCACATGCTTCTCTATAAGTTGCGCATTCCTGACCGTTGACAGTTTTAAGGTCTTTATATCCTGTAGGACCCCGAGCATGGTGCAGCAGCAATCGTAAACAGAAACATTCAAAATTAGTTACTTGGACGGTATACACACGACCAAGGGCATCTGATGACTTTACACCGGGCCAATTTGCAACAGGCGCGCCTCGAATACGGCGTTTCCACTCCTTTCCAAGTATAATAGCGGAGGACTTCAGAATATAACAACGTTTTTGCAAAGGGGTCGGTTTGACAAAGTTGAAAGAAGGCTGTTAGTGTAGTTTTTGGCGGTGACGCAATTCTTTCTTGGAAATTTCTTTCAGTGAAATATACACGCTCTCCATTTTCTAAGTGCACAGCAAGGTAAGTAACTGTTGGGTGCCTTTCGTGTAATGGGAAGCCAAGGAGACGCCACGCTGCCTCGTTACTGCTGACATAACGCCCTGCTTGAAAGGTCTGTAATTCATTAACGGGATTTGCCTCACCTTCACTCCTGAGAATATTGCTTGGTCGATTCCTTTATTTATGTACTTACAGATATACTTGATTGCGCGGACAGAGCTACATGCTTCTACATTAATGTGGACATTAAACATTTACATAGAATGAGGGAATACGGAACAATCCAGCTGTTATCTAAGGTTTCGAACGCTCCGGAGCGAGATTTGATTGTAACTTAACTGCCACCATCTTCGGGGGCTCTGCGTCTGTATAAAGGGTAGCCATTGTCATTGTGCATTGTTTCTTTTAATAGCTGTTTAGGGAATTTCTTTGTACATTTTCCTTCTTTCATACATGGCGATATTGAATTTCGTGCTCCACATGGACCGTGAATCATATTTCGGACGATGGTATCATACAATTCTTTATCTTGCTCAGGATCCGGAATCTCGGCGCTTATTATGTCGTCTATTTGGCTGGGCCGCAACTTCTCTTTAAGCCATATTAGAAGGTTGGTATGCGGTAATCCTCTTTTTTGCTATTCAATTGAATACATGAAGCACTGCACCTCTCCGGAAATTTTCCCTTTGTTAATTACATACATTAATTTTTGTACTTTTAATTTAAATACTCTAGCAACTAAATCGTGTCTGTCAGTACTTTTTTGGCCCGGCATTAGCTCATCGGTTGTTTCTTTCCATGTGGGATTGCAAGTAAAAGTAACAAAAAGATCAGGTCTTCCGTAAGTTCGTACATAGGCTAATGCGTCTTGTGTGTACTCATGTAGGTAGCAGGGACTGTTAACGAATGATGAGGGCAGAATTACCATTTTACCTAAATCTCTGCGGTTTACATTGGCGTCGCTAGAAACTGCATCTTGTAAATGTATATAACTCTTAACGCGCAGCTTTTTTTGATTTAAAGATATATAACCGAGACGTTCACTTTCTACCTTCACATACATGTCTACCAAAAATTCATGAAATAATTGTCTACACCGGGCTAAGAGGTTAAAATCATTTTCTCGCAACATCATATAAAAAGAGAGTTTTCAAAGGTTCTTCTGGTTTCCCAAGTAACGGAAGAGATACTTTGCCATTGGAACAGCACATGCCTGCAGTCTCATCTTTCCATTTTAAAGCGCTGCAAAATTGACACGCCTTGTCCATCAGTCCGATATCAACTAACCTGTGATTTTTATAATCAATCAACGGATCATAATTGAATGCTGCGACATTAAAAACCCACCAATTGTTTCTTTGAAAATTTTGTCGACGTTCAGCTTGGAGCTGTGCATTTGCATCTCTTCGCGCCTGTAACTGTTTTGGTGTTTCAGATGCCCTTATAGTAGATTGACGTTCAGCTTGCTCAATGAGTCTGTGTTGAGTTTCATCAGGTGTTTCCGCGGCTCTTAAGGCGGCCTGACGTTCCGCTTGTTTGAATAGCCTTTGCTGACTATGAGCAGGTGTTTCAGTAGCTCTTAAAGTAGCTTAACGCTCTGCCTGTTGAAGACGCCTTTGCTGACTTTGAGCAGGTGTTTTAGTAGCTCTTAAAGTAGCTTGACGCTCTGCCTGTTCAAGACGCCTTCGCTGATTTTGAGAAGGTGTTTCGGAAGCTCTTAAAGCAGCCTGATGCTCTGTCTGTTCAAGAAGCCTTTGCTGACGTTGAGAAGGTGTCTCAGATGCTCTAAAAGCAGCCTGACGTTCTGCTTGTTCTTGCCTTCTCAGTTCAGCATCTTTTAAAGATTCTAGCGATCGAGCTAATCTTTTCGCTTGTCTTTGAGAAGATACTCTTGAAAGGCTGGACTTACGTTTGCGAGGCATTATGAAGTAACAAAAAACCTATTTATAAAAAAAACGTTAAAATACCTAAAAGGAATTAAATTTCCTTTTAAATATTTTTTTAAAAGCAAATCCAAAATATATAAAAGGAATAAATATTCCTTTTAAATATTTTTTTCAAATCAAAACAACAAAACCAATTCAAGACACAACACGAATCCGAAAACGATAGCCAAAAAAAAAATCAAATCAACTTAAGCCAAATCACAAAACAAATCGCAGGAAACCGAAATCGAAAGCAGTAGTCAATATAAATATAACCAACGAAAAAAGAAGTAAGTGTATAGGTACCGTATACACTATCTATACTATTAATATTCCTTTGAAATATTGTTAAACAAAGAAAACCAATTCACGATTCTAAATAAACAAAATCCAAAATCAAAGCCAGAGTCTAAATATGCATAAAGGAATACCAACCAAATCAACAAAATCGATCCAAGAAAATACACATTTCCGAAAATGAAAGCCAATATAAATCCATTCAACCTTAACCAAATCACAAAGCAAATAACAAACAACCGAATTCGAAAGCAAGTAGTCGAATAAGCTACGAAATAGAAACAATTTAAGCCTATAGGTACCGTATGCACTATAAATAGACGCGCAGCTCAACGGCGGGAGTTAAGTACAAGTCAGGAAACATTTCGTTACCGCGTTTTAAAAACCTAGTAACGACATCTAGCGGAATCAATTTAAACTATGTATACGTTAGTTAATAAGAACTCTCAAAAATATTTTTCTTATAATTTTGAACAATTTTTCTTATTGTAATACCGATTCATTCATAACCACATATAAGAATTGTATTCATTTCCGTTCAATAAATATTACTAAGGTTTATTAATAAGGCTTACTAAGAACTGTTTCTACCACAGTTAAGTAATAGTTAAGGGTGAAAGCGTGACAGGCGGAAATCACGCCTGTAAACCTTGCGGGGTAGGCAGAGCATCAACGGATTACTTAATATCGTCTGCGAGGTTATCGCCTATTCTGTGAATTACAATGCACCAAAACGTTTGAAGAAAATCAGCTGGTGAATTTTATGTTTTTATGGCTCTCTTCCCGGTCCTGCGTGGTAAAATACAGACCCATACATTTTTTATCTTAATTTTGGTAAAAAGACATAATAATCCAGATATTGTGACCTTCTGTGTACCTCCATCGTACCGTCGTCTGTCTTGTAGAATCACGGTGGCGCCACCTAGCTGAATTTAATTTTGCAACATATTCGATTTTCCCACGGGAATGAGATGTTTTTCCGCGAAAAAAAAGTAGCCTATGTCACTTTGCAGCCACCGAACTATCCCCATACCAAAATTCATGCCATGCCGACGCTCTGTTGCGACGTGAAAGGACAAACTTTTGCAACATATTCTATTTTCCCACGGGAATGAGGCTATAGAGTGACATAGGCTATTTTTTTCCGCGGAAAAACATCTCATTCCCGTGGGAAAATAGAATATTTCTCACAGGAACGGGAATGAGATGTTTTTCCGCGGGAAAAAGTAGCCTATGTCACTCTACAGCCACCTAACTATCCCCATACCAAAATTCATGCCATGCCGACGCTCTGTTACGACGTGAAAGAAGGACAAACTTGTGCAACATATTCGATTTTCCCACAGGAATGAGATGTTTTTCCGCGGAAAAAAGTAGCCTATGTCACTCTACAGCCACCGAACTATCCCCATACCAAAAATCATGCCATGCCGACGCTCTGTTGCGACGTGAAAGAAGGACAAACACACAAACAAACACACTTTCGCATTTATAATATTAAGTATGGACTATATTTATTCCATTAGATAGATAGTGATCTATCTAATGGCATGTAAGGGACGACTCAGTCACTTGCATTGATGGTACGGCAATCCGACACGACCGGAGAGCGATCATAGACCAGCGACTTAACGTGCTTTTGGAGATACGGGGGTAAAATACCGCCATCTATCTGATCCTGGGCTGCTTATGGGAATTTCTTAAGAAAATAATTAATTTTGGCCAGAGCTGGGATTCCAATCTGGGGCCACATGATCAGCGCTTACGACCACTAGACTAAGGTCATAGGAATGCATTGAATGACCAACGTTATAGATACAGCTTCAGCGTAGTTCCAATGGGGCTCTATGATGTTAAAAACTTTTTCAAAATAATTAGATAATTTTTTCTGTTCCTTCACAGCAATGCGTCTTGATATCAGACAGCGGATGTACAGCGATGAAGAAATAGACCAACGATCCTACAAAACGAAAACGAAAAAGAAAACGATAGTATTAAAACGACGGCTGTGTTTTATAGTAATTTAGTTTTTCCCGCCTTGTTCTGTTTTTCTATTGAATAATACAGAAGAGCTTGAGAACAATTGCAATGTAATAAAGAAAGTTTCAATTTTTATTATGCTTGCGTGTTTATTTACAACCTAAGAGTATACAACACGTAACATAATTAACGCACTTTGAGAAAGTAGTTTGTTCAGAATCGTTTACTGAATCGATTCTTATCATTTTTTATATAGGTAATTTTTTATCCCATAAATAATTAAAACTACGTAAATTACAGTCACACTAAATCTGTACAGTCAAAACAAACTGAAATGGATCGTAACTGGAGACTTTTAAGACTGCAGTTTTATTTGTATTATTACTAATTCTGTCATTCAATAAAAATAAAGAAAAATGAACTTTATTTCAAGCACGTTAAAGTATTTGCGTTCATGGATTTGTACTGTGACCACAACATTCTTCCGGAATTAGTATAACTAATTTGATAAATAATTAGTGCATAAAAATGTTTAACTAAAAATTCAGTGTTTGTATTATGATTATAACATAATACGAGTATACTAATTGGGGTGTCTGAGGGTGTGCGTTAATTACGTTATATATTGTATAATTACGACGTTTTACATATTTTTAAACATACTTTTTGAAAATATTCGTATCTGTCATACCTATATTGATACAATTCGTATACTTAAGAAGCGATAAGTATGGAGCGCAATATGGCGACTTTATCGTTTTATAAAAGTAAAGTAAAAAAATTATTTATTATGAAAAAATTAATTGAATCGTGTAATATCTTTAAATCATAGACAAAAAGACCACGTGCTCGAGGATGCATGCATGTCTGAGAAATAAGAAATAAATATTTCGAAGACATGTGAAGTTGCCAACACGCATTCGGGCAACGCGGCGCGGTGGTCACTTCCTTGCCTCTCTCAGAAATTAGATGAGGCCTGTGCCCAGCGGTGAGACATTATATACGTCTCACCGCTGGGCACAGGCTGTAACTTTGAGATAAAGAAAACCATATTTTATATCGATTCTTATAGCAGCATAACTAATCAGATTTTGAATAAAGTCGAACCTTTTTAATTTTGCTCAATTCAAATTCTGTTGCCCTAGCAACAGATTTGTAACAAGGCCTGATAAAAAGATAATTCCGCCTCTAGGCTTATAGTAGGAGAGCGTCCATATTTGCCTTCTTGGATAAAACTGAATTGTACTCTAACTACTCAAAATTAAAGTAAGTACCTACCTAGTAATCGTCTTTCAGCTTTCTTTACTTATCGCAAAACAATTTTAAAATATTATTCCGATCAGTCGCGCTTACCTGTCTAACATTTAGCTGCGCATACTTCAGGACAGTACGCCCCTAGACGTTATTAACAAGACTGTACATCAAAAAGTCTAGTATTACAATTTTATTTAGTAAAAATTACTAAAATAATGTAGGAAAACGGCAGTTGAATGAGGCGTTGCATTTATTATAACCTAGTACCACGACCTGAGATACTGCACTAGAAGGAGTTTAATCTGGAGGATGCGGGGATGCTCAAATCTCCGAGAAATTTCTATTGGGTCCTCTCGTCCGATCTCGTCCGTCCGTGGTACCACCCTGAGATTTTTCACCATTTGACAGGGTCAGCAGCCGTAGCCTAGCACCAGAAAGTGGTTGCTACTCGTTTAGCGGCCAGAGGACACATCTCGGAGGAGGTTGTAGTCAGAGTTCTAGTATTTCCTACGGACGGAAGTGGTCTCATGCCCCAATATAGATAAATAACTTTTGCTAGGCGATGGTTGATAGTGTAAATAGACTTTGCTCACAAAATAAAAAGAAGACTAGGTCGAGTGAACGACCACGATGTATTGAAATAATACTAGTTTTTACGGAATTTATCGCGTATATTTAACTTTTTAAATGACCGACGTTTCGAACGCTTTACAGTACTCATGGTCACGGGCGGGACTGAGATGTTCAACGTCCATATGTCATAGTTAACCCCGGTTACCATAGATTAAAATTTAACTTTTGTTCCGATCTATACAGTATGAACTTATGGTATCTTGAAGTCTTGCAGTTGTATGCTTGGGTTGGGATTTAATTTTATTTATTATAGGATCCCAAGCAGATGGTAGCACCCAGCCATCTTCTCTATTGAAATTAGGATGTTTTTTGATTTCAATAGCCTCGCGAATCATCCTTGAAAGGAATCGGTGTTCTTTAGCGAGGATTTGCGGTCTATCAAATCTGATGTAGTGACGGGGGTGATCCTGTACGTGTTCACAGACTGCAGACTTCCCGGAGCGTCGATTCTTCACATCAGCTATATGTTCTTTAACGCGGGTTTTTATTGATCTTTTAGTTTGTCCTATGTAGGAGAGACCACATTCACAATCAAGCTTGTACACTCCTGCATCTTGCAGAGGGACATTACACTTGACTGATGGTAAAAACTGACCAATCTTCTTCAGTGGCTTGAAGTATGTTTTGATGGAAGCGCGCTTCAAGATGTAGCCAATCTTGTCAGTGACTCCTCTAACATATGGCAGTACAGCAGGTACACGCTCGACTGTGGCCGGCTTCACTCGTTCACTGTGATGTAGGCGCGGGACTCGAAGCTTGTTGTCATGCAAAACTTGCTTGACATGGTGGAGCTCGGCAGCCAGGTGTTTACTGTCACAGATCCCTCGTGCTCTCTGAAACAAAGATTTACCCACGGTAGCTAACTGTGAAGGATGGTGGTGAGAATCACCGTTTAAATATCTATCTGTATGGGTCTTTTTTCTATACACAGTATGGCTCAAGATGTTATCAGGATTCCGAATTACTAACACATCTAGAAAAGCTAAGAAATTGTTTGCCTCTAACTCCATTGTGAACTGAATTTTAGAATTTATAGAGTTAAGATTACCTATTGTGGAAGGAGGAGTTTTACAAGCAAGTAGATGGTGTGGCGATGGGCTCACCTGTATCTCCCATTGTCGCCGACATATTCATGGAAGACTTTGAGGAGAAAGCCCTGCTTAGTTCTCCCATAAGTCCAAGATTTTACAAGTTCCAAGTTCATACTGTATAGATCGGAACAAAAGTTAAATTTTAATCTATGGTAACCGCGGTTAACTATGACATATGGACGTTGAACATCTCAGTCCCGCCCGTGACCATGAGTGCTGTAAAGCGTTCGAAACGTCGGGTATTTAAAAAGTTAAATATACGCGATAAATTCCGTAAAAACTAGTATTATTTCAATGTGTAGTGTTCGCGTAAATATAAGAAATCATTATGTAGACCACGATGTAGCCATTCAGTATAATGTGCCTTTTACAACGTGATGTTGTAACGACGATCAGATACATCAGGAATTCCGTTTCGGGATTCCGTAAATACCTCATACACACACACACACATACACACACACACACACACACACACACACACACACACACACACACACACGCACACACACACACACACACACACACACACACACACACACACACACACACACACACACACACACACACACACACACACACACACACATTTCTCTTCGGAATAACAAGGCTCAGTTGAGAGACGCTATCCATAGAGTCTAGACCTTAGAGTAATTACATACATACGCACAGAATACTATAACTATAATACATAATAGAATGGCAGTCAACATTATTTTGTATGAGGTTTGTCGTCGGCAAACCCGATTCGCTGTGTTGACAGACTGAATAAATTTACACATTTTAGACTTTCGATTAATGATCAAGATCATCATTAAAAAATCGTTTAAAATTTAATACATATTTATTTATAAATAGGGTGCAATTTGGAATTTTTTAAATAATTTGCATGCCTAACTTGGAAACGATTGTAACATCAAAACACATCTCGTGTTGACATTTATACGTGTGAATTGATGTGTTAGTGACATTTTAGTGGCTACGCGGGCTCCGCCCACTCCCACGTTCTATTATGTATGTTACAGTATTCTATGTACATACGTCTAAACATTCTGTCAGCGAATTATGACGACGATTTTCTGATTGCGATTCCATTGGTGCTGTAGCACTGTTACTGGGTGTATTTCCTGATCACCCTAAGATCGCAATATAGTCAATATTATTTGAAAAGATCTATCCATCCTGAGATTTTTTTTAATATGGATGTCTGTAAACTCTTTCGACGAATGGTTAAACAAAATAGGATGAAAAGACGTCAAACATCTCGCCCATGGGTGCTGTAAAACACCCGAAACGTCGGTAATTAAAAATAAGTTAATTAAACGCAATAAAATCCGTGTAAATAGTTTTATCCAAAAACAGGTTTTTAAAGACTTGAGGTATGTCTTATAATTAAATAAATATTAAACTTGTGAACAGACATTTTTATTATTGAATTTTGTTAAGACAAGTATATAAAATTTAGAAATGAATACAATGTTAAATGTCTGTTAAACACAAACAAGTAAATGGATTGGACTGTATTTAATAATTTTACACTTAATGCACACTACAATTTAATAATGCCGCAAAACAGCTGCGATTACCGTTAGCACGTACAAGCAAGTACCCTAATCAACGTAATACCAAAAAAGGAAGGAAGTAGGTTACAGTAATACGAATCTTGCTATAAAAAGCAAAAGAGATCGTTAATTTTTTTTTAAATATTAATTTTAAAAATAAATTAAACGAGAGTTGTGCAACATTGGTTAGGATAGTAAATAATTTTATATCGCAGTAAAATGTTTCCCTCACTTCGTGCTTTAATTCGTCAATTATTTTGTTCCCATGATGGGTTTAGTAGGTCGTCTCTGTTAGGGGATGAAATTTCTGCCATAGAATAAACTTTTGGTTCTTGATCAGATGATGCTAGCACTTCTTTAGATTGAAATGCTCATGTAGATCTATAATTTTGTCTATTTTCTTTGTCTAAAATTGTATAATTACGTCGTGTGTCAATTTTATCTGATATTTGATATGATTCTCCTATTACATTTTCATCAATGTTAATTACGTAGCTCGCTTTATTTATAGAATTGCTATCTTCTTGTACCTTAAAATCTTGTTCTGGTTCCTTTTTTCTAGATATATCACCTCTTCATGTATTAGATATTGCTTCAAAACTATTATTAAAATATTCGTTTGTATTTTTACTGTCAGAATATGAGCTGTTGGATCCATCTAAACTGAAAGTATAATTAGGTAAAAAAATTCATTATTTTTTTTATTCTTCTCTGTCTGTAGTTGTAATTGGGTGCGTTTGTAAGCAGAAAGTTTGTATTCACAAAAAAGCGCTAGCAAGCGCTTGTAAGCAAAACGGCGAAACTAAACAGTTTTCGGCCAGGACACGTTTGCAAACTTCAGTAGCGCTGACACAATCCGCCATTTTGCTTATTTAATTTGTTTGTTCTGAAGTAGAGCTTATAAGTTGTTTTGTGCAATATTAGTTTTAAGTAATATAATGACATGAATAGGCATATACATGTTATTAAAAAATCATGATTGGTAAGTTTTAAAAATGAATACTTTACAAACATATATTTAAATTAGGTTAGATTCCCCTGTTAAAACTAACTTCGTATCCTAGAGGAAAATAGCTACTTACTATTTGACAGCGCTTACCGCTTACGATCGCCATTTTGCTTACAAGCGCTTGCTAGCGCTTTTTTCTGCCAAACGCACCCATTGTAACACAATGTAACACTTTATTACACGTAACAAAATTACTTTAAACTGTATTATTTAGCTGTGCTTTCTTAATTTTTTTTATATTCAGAAATCATGTTCATGGATTAGATTCTCAGATAATTTGGATCAAGATAATCCTCACCAAACTTCTCAATGAAGACACGTCTCTTTCCAGAACGCAATTGTAATTTTGCATTACTGTTTATATGAAACACCGCTGAAACAACATTATCTGACAAGTTTGGTTTAATTTTTCTTCTATATCTGGCATTTTGAAAGCAGAGTCAGGAGAATTAAAAGCTTTTCTTTTTGCTTTGTTAGTGATTTCATTTACAAGAGCTGATTTCAGTGTTTTGGTAACCTGAAATAATTTTGTAACTAAATTTGAATAATATTAAGTTCTACTAATGTTTTAAATTTCTTCATAGGAATTATAGTAGTGTTATTTATATTTTTTAATTTAATCTTCATTTATCGAACCTTTTAGTCTGATACATTCCAATAAGAGGTCAAAGAGTTCTAAAGTCATATTTACAACTTTTGGCAACCAGGATAGATCATCGTATCTAGACTTAAGTATCTTTGAGAATAGAGCGTACTTCTGCCTTAAGAGGCTAGAACAACTCTGCGATTTCTCTGATATTACAGGAGGTGACGAGTGACAACAGTCAATTAACATCAGTTGAGGTGCATACTCGCCCATTACGTTTTTACTAAAAAAAAATACAGTTGACCCTACAGGCCCATCCCTGCAACTACCCGCTAATTTCAAATACAAAGCGCTCCAAAATTTACCTATTCTAGAGTTTGAAAAGCTCAAAAACGTCATATAATTTTGAAGAGAAACTCAAAAGAAATCGTTGTCGTGTATAAAAATCTACCAAATTGATTTAAATTCACATGAAATGTAGGCAAAGTCTTTCGTATGCCGTGAACCGCGTTTTGGTTAGTCGAGCTGTTCAAAAGGTTAAAAGGAGTTTATACACACAAACAGAAACACACACCCACAAACACACACATATAAACACAAACACACACACGCGCCACACACACACACACATACAAACACACACACACACACACCCACACACACACACACACACCCACACACACACACACACACACACACACACACACACATGCGCACGCACGTACGCACGTACGCCCACGCGCGCATTCGCGTTTGCGATGAAGATCTGATGAAAACTCGATTTTCGAAAGCCGAGGTGAAACCAATAACTTTCAGATTTTTTGATAGCGGTAAGATAAAAAATCAGTCAAGCAGTTGCTAAGTCTTTGGATTCAGCGCTGTGGTTCTTAGGATAAGCCTTCTAAGCTTAGGATTTGAGCGCTAAGCGGAGTAGGGCGTCTGGCTTGCGTGACAAGAACAAGAGTATTACAATGTCCTTATTGGCTGGCTCTCAAAATGTATGATGAACGATCTTCACTTTTCTATAGAATAAGGGTGATGAACGAGCACACAGTCCACATGATGGTAAGTTGATGCTGAAGTCCATAGCCATCTACAGGGTTTCCAGTTTACTACACTCAACATACGAAACACAGCAGAAAAAAGCTGATATTTTACTCTGGTATTCAGTGAGAGCTTCTTCCGTGAAGCCGACCCATCCGTGCTACAACCACAGTATAACAGCTATGCTACATCATGAATCTTCCATGTGTATATAGTATATATATATATATATATATATATATATATATATATATATATATATATATATACGTATGTAAAGAAATAGGACCACTATGTGGTGGGATTTCTTTTATTACCTATTTCAGCCATCAAATAATGCAGTCCTGTGTTTCTGTCTGAAGAGTATAGAGAGCCAGTATAATTAAAGGCTGTGAGGCATTCCATTTATATTCCTCAAAAGTGACAACGTTTCAGTATCCCTCCTACCTCTTCCCTTCAGGTGGAATGTAAATTCGTTTGCCACTTCAGTTTTAAAATAAACTATTTACACTGAGACACCACGATAGCGCAAATGGCCGAGTGTGTTAGACCCATACAGTCAAATGTACATTGGAATACACTGGTCAAGAAAACATCGTGACGATCGAAACTATCGGCTGACCTGCCAGTAATTTTCTGTGAACGCGTCCGTGCAGGAAGCGCTGCAGCAAGTATAAGCGGAAGGTAGGTGCTGTACTCTCCCTTGATTGCTCTCCTACATTTTGAAGGCAGATGCGACTACTCGGTGTAAGAGGGGCCTAAGACTAACGATCGTATAACGTACGGGACAGGGATTTGAACTTGTATGGCCTACAAATACAATTATTTTGTGTTGGAATATTACTTATGCGCACTTTATCTGTGAAATATCTTCATAATATTTTTTTGGTAAATACGAAATGATTTTACTATTATTAGACTTTTCCCATTCCCATAGCCGGTTTTTACGACACTGAGAAAATATGTCTGACAAATAGAAATCACTACGTTTGATCGATGGATACTCCATCCCAGAAGGCGAATCATTTTTATTTCTCCTCCTTCATTAGTCATTAGTAGGCCTTTCCAAATTGAACGCGGATTAATGATCGCAGTGGTCCTGGTTCTTTTACGGCTTGAGTAAGCGTTGGTTGTAAGTTGGGGCAATTGGTTGGTCCCTTAAGCTTGTGAGATTATGATTTTTCTGGAATTTCCAGTAATCGCCTTTTAATACAAATACGAGACCGTATTATATCTAGTAACAATAGGATTCGGGTAATAGCAAATACTTGTGCTTGTGCATCTTAACTTACTGAAATATTGTTGACAACCATTTCACCAAGAACGCTTGATGCCGATACGTAGATAAATGAGAAAGCGACAAGGAAAACTGTAAAATGAAATCATAAATTGAACAAACACATAAATAATAAAATTGTAATAATAAATCTAGTCTTTGTTACTCCACTGAAAGTTTTAATTAGTGTTGTTTTTTAATTTGTATTGTGAATGTTCGTTTCCAGAGATTGGTTAGATCATTGTCTACATTCAATATTTTCCAAAATTTAATAAATTAAAAAGAAATAAAGTAAGAAAAAATATTGCAACACGCCACAAATTTCATTAGGTACTCTATAACTTAACATTTTGTAGACGCATCAATTAAAAATAATATAACAAAATAAGCAAAAATGAATAAAATGAAAAACAACAATTTAACGGATATTTAAAAATTATGTTTACTTATAAATTACAGTAACAAAAAAAAATAGAAAAAAGTTCCTCTTGTTGTGTGTTGTGGTGCGTTAAGCAAACGGACCCTACTCAGCTTAAGCGCCGCCGAAACGATAGTGTTCATTTTCAGTGGGTTCAAACATGCGTACCGTAGTATCCTCTTAGCTTGTGGTCCGAACGAATAGTAACGTACAGACGTCCGCGTGCGATATACATAATGATTATATTATAAAACTAATCTGTAAAACTTTGCTGAAATTATTAATATCAAAACCGAATCAATTAGTCGTTAGTTATGTAAAGATTCTATAATACTTTTATTCTTAAAATTCCATCACAATTTCACTTAATACAATCGTTGAAAAGTGGCATTAAAATATGAAATGCTTCAGAAAAAGAGGCACGTTATCTTAGTTCTTATGTTTGAAAATGCATCTGTATTTTTATTTTTAATTGAGGATAGACGTAGGCGTCTACCGGCCACAGCCGTCACGTTCGTGAGGTAAAATGGGTGTTTGTCAATATGTCTTGTATAAAAAGGGTAGGTAGTTTGGAAGTCTTAATTAAAATGATAACAGAGCTCACTAAAAATTAAAATCAAAAACAATCACAGATTTTGTCAATAATGGCACTGCATTACGCTTTATTTTAGAAGCTTATACATAAAAAAATAGCTTTGATGTTTCATTTTGTATTGGTTATTCTACTCGCGTATCCAAAACATCGTCATACTTGTAAACAAAGTTACTCAGCATAATTCGCAAGCCCAATGCTAAATATAGGCTTACCCGCGTTGAGCAAAAACTACGCATCCGTTCGCATCATAAAATCTTTGAAAAATGTTAAACTTTCAAGTGGCCAAGATTTTAATTTATTCAGAAAAATTACGTACCAAAATTTATCTGCATCTTTTTGGCTGTTGCGGTCTTATAAATCTAAAGTGAATGAATCAAAATGATTGGTCTAATCATTATTACATAGCTGTAATCAAGAATGGTGTATTTAATTACCATCCAAATCAATTGTCAATAGTGACTAATTTGTATGGTTGATAATGTTTAACGCGTCGTTAGTTATGACATAGAAATTGAAAAAAAATTGACAAAAATATCCGGCGAGTTCCATATTCAGACCAAATTAATAATAATATAAATGACAACAAAATTTCTACGCGAAATTAGTGGTATGGCATTAATAATAAACAATTATAAGGATTTTAGCAGAAATAAAAAACATCTACCAGTAGCGTAACTATACTGTTAGAGGCCCGTGGTAAAATAATCGGATGGGGCCCTCTCCCACTCATTATTAAAAAGCTTTTCTACGTGGTATAGCCATGTTGCAACTACATATACTGGGTGCGTTTGGCAGAAAAAAGCGCTAGCAAGCGCTTGTAAGCAAAATGGCGATCGTAAGCGGTAAGCGCTGCCAAATCGTAAGCAGCTGTTTTCCTCCAGGACACGGTGTTAGTTTTAACCGGGGAACCTAACCAAATTTAAATATATGTTTGTAAAGTATTCGTATTAAAAACTTACCAATCATTAATTTTTAATAACATGTATATGTTTATTCATGTAATTATATTACTTAAAACTAATATTGCACAAAACAACTTATAAACTCTACTTCAAAACAAACAAATTAAATAAGCAAAATGGCGGATTGTGTCAGCGCTACTGAAGTAGCAATCGTGTCCTGACCGAAAACTATTTCGGCGCTTATAAGCGCTTGCTAGCGCTTTTTTCTGCCAAACGCACCCACTGTATTGCTGTAGTATAGTTGTAGCACGAATGGGTCGGGTCGACCGGGGAAGTACCACGCTCTCACAGAATGCCAACGTAAAATAGCAGCTAAATGATGCTATGTTTCGTGAGTGTAGTGAACCGGAGACTTTTTTTACTGGAAACGAGGTATTCGATCTTAGTCCTCACGGGTGACAACACATCTGCATTTTGATCCACAATCGAGGGTAAACAGCAACCCTTATCCTATAAAAAAGTACAACCAAAAATTGTTTTTTATATTATAATGAATCACTGTGTAAAGTACCTAACATAAAAGGCCGGTATAAATAGTTGATTTTCTAGTAAATTTTAATTTAATGTGTATTGGGCCGAAATTACATTTGTGTTTTAGTGCAAAACACAACCTCGTGAACCAGGTCTAATAATATAAATATTTTGTTTGCTTATCTTCTCGTTTCCGCATTCATGAGATTCTCGTCATACGGAATGGTAATGTCGACCAAAAAATCCTTGACTATGCCTGGTTAATTAGAACAATGTCAGGATTATGCACAAGAATAGTCCTACCTGTTAAGGAAGGCCGGTCCGGCTTGCGGCAATTATTTGTAATAAAGCAAACTGTAATGTATATTGACCGTCTAGTATATAGTATACATAAAAAACCTTTGAAAAAATAAAATAAATATGATAGAATAAAATAATTTATGAAGTAGTGTCATATTCGGACTTATTGTTGGGTCTTATACATTGAGCTATTATGTACTACGTACTAGAGGAGACACTGCATTCAGCTACTCTGTTCCACTCAACTGCGGTGCATGCACTGCACTTTAATCAGTCACTCGCTAGGCGCTTGTAGAGTTGTCACGTGTTGTGTTGATTTAAAAAAAATCTCTTGATAAAAATATGCCGTCTTGTGTACTTAGATATTGCACAAATAATTCAAGAAATGTCAGTAAAAACCAAGGAATTACTTTTCATCGGTTAATAAGATACTTATTCAATAAAAAAGTATTATAAATTAATAATAAAGCAAATTATTCCTAAGACGCCATCTCGTATCATTGAATATAGATTATGAAATTAATATGTTCAGATGCGACATTTCTGTGGGTACTTAAGTTTAGGACGAATATATTATTATACTACACATTTTTTTTTGTAGAAACATATAAGTTATTATAATTAAGCTAAATTTTTCATGTTTAAATCTGCTTATTATTCTTTTATTTTATTTTTAGGTTTCCACTTCAAAGTCAAAGTGGAATAAATTCGTCCATTTTTAACTCTCGCGTGCCCAGCATTTATGAACGATTATTTACAACATTTATGATTCTAATTTAAATAAATATATTTGTAATTTAAATTTTATGTTAATAAGTTTTGTTAAACATACATTTAGTACGTTTTTTTTATATTTGACATAGATACCTTTTAAAATATTCAGATAACAATATCATCAAAATGTAATTCTGACATAATATTATGTAATATTATATTAAATTAGCACATATACAAAATAAAAAACATTTTAAAAAATTGTAAGTACTCGATATAATTAACAATACAATATAAATAAACAATTATTACATACTGACCATTCTACTTACGTATAATCTATAATAACAAAAACTGACCGCGCAAGCGCAAAGCGCGTTTATACCAACTGCGCATGCGCGACTCTACTACTACCGCACATGCGCGAAGACATGGAAGTAGCGCACAATTTTTGTTTGGAATAGCTTCTCTAGTACGTAGTACATTATAACTCAATGGTCTTATATAATTTTTTTGTTACTAAGTTAAATTGTTACTTCTACTAATTTTTAATATTATCTTAGGTTTAATTTTGTAAAAAAATTATATTAAGACTAACTTCCTTAGAATGTTTGTAATGTGTTTGTTGTGAAGCCCATCTCTATGGTTGTAGCAAGAATGGGTTGGCTCGACCGGGAAGGAATCACGCGCTCACAGAATACCAGCGTAAAACAGCAGCCCAATGCTGCTGTGTTTCATATGTTGAGTATAGAGAACCGCAGACCTTTTTTACCTCGTGGCGGTTTTGGTGCCATTGTCGTACAAAAGGAAAATCTTAGAGGATCATTATGTATGTTCCAGTTTGACGCCGACTTTTGTGCCAACCTATATTTTAAAATGTATATATACACTATGTAATTTATCAGACAAATCAAATGTTAAGCAACAAAAGCAACTACAAAACATTGATATGCTGTTTTTTTGTCGTCAAAACGTCCAGTACTTTTGGCTCTCATCCTACTACATCATGCAAAACATGACGATATTTAAAGTCAAAAGGACAAGGAAGTCTGAGCCGCGCTGCTCTAATGCGTGTTAGCGAACTTCACATGTCTTCAAAATATTTTTTTTCAGATAAGCAGATTCCCTTACGATGTTTTCCTTTACCGCCGAGCACGTGGTAATTCAGCACTTAAAATTGCAATCAACAATTTCATTGGTGCTGGCGGAGATAGTAGAATCAGGGTTACTCGCGTACTATGAAATTTACAGCGAGAGATAACCATCTGAGCTACCACGGCTCTATATATTTATAACGCGGTAATTATCGGCACTATTCGATACTGTTAAAAATATCGATATGATAAATATCGATACCCTTTTTTCACTTGGACATCCCTAGAACTGTCACCCCGATCTAAACGTCAAATTCGTGCTGCAGAAATAATGGTTATGTTCTGAAATGTTTCCAGTATACTGGCGAATACAAATGACGCTATAACGTCATACGCGTTGTTGACGCCATACTGTACTGGCGTGCCGCCGACATAATATTTTGTCGGATATCCCACTGTATTAAAACAACTTTTGTGTGTACGTTGAATGAAGCATGCCAGAATTTGTTTCTATTTATTCAAATACAAAAAAATATAGAATAATTGCTGGTATCTCCATTCCTCACAAATTAATTGAAATAGGATATAATAACTTGAGTACAAAATGGCATAAAATAATCGCCAAATTTTTCCAATATGGCGCAAATGTATGATGTCATATACTGTTCTATGTTTTGAAACGAATCACCAGTATGGCGTCGATTTATGACGTCATTTGCATTGGCCAGTGTATACTGGGTTGTATTTCGGAACATACCCAATATTGAAAAGCATGTGTTTTAGCCTTGTAAGAATTAATTAAATTAGCACTTGGCAAAACAGTAAAAGCTTTGTTCTCTTTATTTATTCGATTGTATAAATCAAGAGAACGAAGCTTACTTCTTTTATTAAAAATACTATTGTATTACTGGAAACATGTTCATTATCGTGGAGGCATTTTATTAAATGGTAGGTATAAGGAAAAAATGTAAAATAAGTTTTAAATATTTTTATTAATTACACAATATTTTCTTAAACGTAGAGAAAACTAGGGATAAAAATGAAAAACAGATTTAACCATTTCACTTTTTATACAATATTAGTACTGTATACTGAACTGTGTATACTGAAGATTTATCGTCGCTGTATTCCGATATCCAATAACAAATTTATACATAATACTTTTATTTTTCGCCTGAGAATAACAACTAAAAATCAGTTTTTATGATACCGTAAGAAGTGTCGATTCTGTCGGTTTACGATTACGGCCGGTTTACGACCTCCATAAGTTTTCATAGAAGCATTTGTATGATCGCATTCGCAGTCCACTGGACGTGTGCAAATCTAGAAAATAAAATCAAATTTAAAATAATGAAAAACATCTTCGCCAATAACAATGAGGTAGTAAATACCAATGTCTATTAATATACTTTTAATTTAAATTAATGTTATAATATAGAGAATTGTTTGATGAAAATTGCAACAAATGCCGTCATAGTTTTTTGTAATGGAATAAACAACTTATTTGCATTCTTTTTAAATCATAAAAATCTGATATTAACCTAAAGTGAAAATCCAATTAAATTTTGAGACACTGCGAAAAGTAGCAAATACAAATTTATCTACATAAAAAGTAATAGATACTTTTAGGTAATGGTGTCAACTCCCATATCACTTACATTATTGAAACATTCTCCATAGTTGTGTAACGATGTACGGAAGGAAATATTTCGACATGATAACGAATTGATAATCATTCGAATAACAATGTATTTAAATGTATTTCAATAGAAAAACCTTCCATCATCATCACGGTAATCATTCTAGCCTATTCGGTGTCTACTGCTGAATACAGGCTCTCGCCTGGTAACCGCAGTTTTATATTATTTTTAGTTGTTATCAGGAAGATGTCATCTTTTTTATAGTATAAGGACGTGAAATAAATACACTGATCACCTGCTATTTTGACAGCTATATTATTCAGTAAGAGCGTAGTCCTTCCTCAGTCAAGCCTGTCTATTCGTGTTGCAACCACAGTATAGGTACACTAAGCTACACTACACTGTGGCGTTGCCACGTGTGGGGTACACGCCATCTCCTGTTTCATTCCCATTCGCAGACAAAAGTCACGAGATTTATCGTTGATCTCTTAATTTGTATACTTTTCTATTATGTAGCGTTAATTATTATAAAAACTAACCATAACCCGTACAGTTATTAAAACATACATAGACTACAGACTTTGACACCTGGGTGACAACACATCTATTTACGGATATTTAATCTAAGATCGACGGATAAACAAGAATGTATCGTCTCGTTTAAGATCAAAAATAGAATGTCTCGTTACTCATAATTTGTAGTAACTGAATAAAAGAAAAATTGACTGAAGTGAATTGAACACGGTAAGTACATTGATTTGTAATTAGATATAAAAATATACTTACGTGCTTAACAGGATTGAATTTATAATTATATGGACACGTGTACAGGTATCTAGTTCCGTATACGCAATAAAAGAAAGTTCTGGTATCAACGGAATTGGGCAGTGTGTAATATCTATAAGGATCACATGATGGAGAAGTGGTAGAAACAGTGTCAGTGGTATATAACGGTGAAGTCGACAAACTAACAGGTAAAAGAGGTGGCAAAGGCGATGGCTGTGCTTCAGTAGTTGTAAGCGGTGGGAGAGGCTTTGCTTCAGGTAAATTTTCATTAACTATTGTTGTCATTTCTGTTAACGTACTCCTTGTTTCGTTTGTAGTAAAAATGGATGTAGTGGAAATCGGAGGCAAGGATGAAGATGGTTGTGTAGTTGAGGACAGTGATGTCGTTCTAATTGTTGTTGTAGAAGGTAATAAACTTGATCCAAGCGAAACTGTTGAACTCAAAGAGGATGCAGTTTTGGGACCTAGATACGTTATTGTAGGGGTTGAACTGAATTGTGTTGTTGATTGTGATTGTTCTTTTGTAGTTGAGGCGCTAAGGGAGTGTGTGCTTGGATCTGTAATTCGTGTAGTAATTGCTGTCGAGGAAGAAGTAGATTCTGTCGAAGTTGATGTAGTTTTGGGACCTAGAGACGTTGTTGTAGGCGTTGAACTGAATAGTGTACTTGATTGTGATTGTTCTTTTGCTATTGAGGTGCTAGGGAAATGTGTGCTTGGATCTGTAATTCGTGTAGTAGTGACTATCGAGGGAGAAGTAGATTCTGTCAAAGTGGATGCAGTTTCAAGACCTACAGACGTTATTATAGGCGTTGGACTGAGTTCTGTAGTTGATTGCGATTGTTCTTTTGTAGTTGAGGTTTTAGGAGTGTGTGTGCATGGATCCGTAATTCGCGTAGTAATGACTGTCGAGGGAGAAGTAGATTCTGTCAACGTGGATGCAGTTTCACGACCTACAGACGTTATTGTAGGCGTTGGACTGAGTTGTGTAGTTGATTGCGATTGTTCTTTTGTAGTTGAGGTGCTAGGGGTGTGTGTGCTTGGATCTGTAATTCGTGTAGTAGTTACTTTCGCAGACGTTGTGGATTCTGTCGAAGTAGATGTAGTTTTGGGACCTAGAGAAGTCATTGTAGGCGTTGAACTGAATTCTGTACTTGATTGTGATTGTTCTTTTGCCGTTGAAGCGCTAGGGGAATATGTGCTTGGATCTGTAATTCTTGTAGAAGTAACTGTCGAGGGAGAAGTAGATTCTGTCAAAGTGGATGCAGTTTCAAGACCTACAGACGTTATTGTAGGTGTTGGACTGAGTTCTGTAGTTGATTGCGATTGTTCTTTTGTAGTTGAGGTGCTAGGCGAATGTGTGCTTGGATCTGTAATTCGTGTAGTTGTTACTGTCGAGGGAGAAGTAGATTCTGTCAATGTAGATGTAGTTTTGGGACCCAGAGACGTTATTACGGACGTCGAACTGAATTGTGTAGTTGATTGTGATTGTTCTTTTGTAGTTGAGGTTTTAGGAGTGTGTGTGCTTGGATCTGTAATTCGAGTAGTATATAATGTCGAGGGAGAAGTAGATTCTGTCAAAGTGGATGCAGTTTCAAGACCCACAGACGTTATTGTAGGCTTTGGACTGAGTTGTGTAGTTGATTGCGATTGTTCTTTTGTAGTTGAGGTGCTAGGAGTGTGTGTGCCTGAATCTTTAATTCGTGTAGTAGTTACTTTCGCAGAAGTTGTGGATTCTGTCGAAGTAGATGTAGTTTTGGGACCTAGAGAAGTTATTGTAGGCGTTGAACTGAATTGTGTACTTGATTGTGATTGTTCTTTTGCCGTTGAAGCGCTAGGGGAATATGTGCTTGGATCTGTAATTCGTGTAGAAGTAACTGTCGAGGGAGAAGTAGATTCTGTCAAAGTGGATGCAGTTTCAAGACCTACAGACGTTATTGTAGGTGTTGGACTGAGTTCTGTAGTTGATTGCGATTGTTCTTTTGTAGTTGAGGTGCTAGGCGAATGTGTGCTTGGATCTGTAATTCGTGTAGTTGTTACTGTCGAGGGAGAAGTAGATTCTGTCAATGTAGATGTAGTTTTGGGACCTAGAGACGTTATTGCGGACGTTGAACTGAATTGTGTAGTTGATTGTGATTGTTCTTTTGTAGTTGAGGTTTTAGGAGTGTGTGTGCTTGGATCTGTAATTCGCGTAGTAGTTACTTTCGCAGAAGATGTGGATTCTGTCGAAGTAGATGTAGTTTTGGGACCTAGAGAAGTTATTGTAGGCGTTGAACTGAATTGTGTACTTGATTGTGATTGTTCTTTTGCCGTTGAAGCGCTAGGGGAATATGTGCTTGGATCTGTAATTCGTGTAGAAGTAACTGTCGAGGGAGAAGTAGATTCTGTCAAAGTGGATGCAGTTTCAAGACCTACAGACGTTATTGTAGGCTTTGGACTGAGTTGTGTAGTTGATTGCGATTGTTCTTTTGTAGTTGAGGTGCTAGGAGTGTGTGTGCTTGAATCTTTAATTCGTGTAGTAGTTACTTTCGCAGAAGTTGTGGATTCTGTCGAAGTAGATGTAGTTTTGGGACCTAGAGAAGTTATTGTAGGCGTTGAACTGAATTGTGTACTTGATTGTGATTGTTCTTTTGCCGTTGAAGCGCTAGGGGAATATGTGCTTGGATCTGTAATTCGTGTAGAAGTAACTGTCGAGGGAGAAGTAGATTCTGTCAAAGTGGATGCAGTTTCAAGACCTACAGACGTTATTGTAGGCGTTGGGCTGAGTTCTGTAGTTGATTGCGATTGTTCTTTTGTAGTTGAGGTGCTAGGCGAATGTGTGCTTGGATCTGTAATTCGTGTAGTTGTTACTGTCGAGGGAGAAGTAGATTCTGTCAATGTAGATGTAGTTTTGGGACCTAGAGACGTTATTGCAGACGTTGAACTGAATAGTGTAGTTGATTGTGATTGTTCTTTTATAGTTGAAGTTTTAGGAGTCTGTGTGCTTGAATCTGTAATTCGCGTAGTAGTGACTGTCGAGGGAGAAGTAGATTCTGTCAAAGTGGATGCAGTTTCAAGACCAACAGACGTTATTGTAGGCATTGGACTGAATTCTGTAGTTGATTGCGATTGTTCTTTTGTAGTTGAGGTGCTAGGGGAATGTGTGCTTGGATCTGTAATTCGTGTAGTTGTTACTGTCGAGGGAGAAGTAGATTCTGTCAATGTAGATGTAGTTTTGGGACCTAGAGACGTTATTGCGGACGTTAAACTGAATTGTGTAGTTGATTGTGATTGTTCTTTTATAGTTGAGGTTTTAGGAGTGTGTGTGCTTGGATCTGTTATTCGTGTAGTAGTTACTTTCGCAGAAGTTGTGGATTCTGTCGAAGTAGATGTAGTTTTGGGACCTAGAGACGTTATTGCGGACGTTGAACTGAATTGTGTAGTTGATTGTGATTGTTCTTTTGTAGTTGAGGTTTTAGGAGTGTGTGTGCTTGGATCTGTAATTCGCGTAGTAATGAATGTCGAGGGAGAAGTAGATTCTGTCAAAGTGGATGCAGTTTCAAGACCTACAGACGTTATTGTAGGCTTTGGACTGAGTTGTGTAGTTGATTGCGATTGTTCTTTTGTAGTTGAGGTGCTAGGAGTGTATGTGCTTGAATCTTTAATTCGTGTAGTAGTTACTTTCGCAGAAGTTGTGGATTCTGTCGAAGTAGATGTAGTTTTGGGACCTAGAGAAGTTATTGTAGGCGTTGAACTGAATTGTGTACTTGATTGTGATTGTTCTTTTGCCGTTGAAGCGCTAGGGGAATATGTGCTTGGATCTGTAATTCGTGTAGAAGTAACTGTCGAGGGAGAAGTAGATTCTGTCAAAGTGGATGCAGTTTCAAGACCTACAGACGTTATTGTAGGCGTTGGACTGAGTTCTGTAGTTGATTGCGATTGTTCTTTTGTAGTTGAGGTGCTAGGGGAATGTGTGCTTGGATCTGTAATTCGTGTAGTTGTTACTGTCGAGAGAGAAGTAGATTCTGTCAATGTAGATGTAGTTTTGGGACCTAGAGACGTTATTGCGGACGTTAAACTGAATTGTGTAGTTGATTGTGATTGTTCTTTTATAGTTGAGGTTTTAGGAGTGTGTGTGCTTGGATCTGTTATTCGCGTAGTAATGACTGTCGAGGGAGAAGTAGATTCTGTCAAAGTGGATGCAGTTTCAAGACCTACAGACGTTATTGTAGGCATTGGACTGAGTTGTGTAGTTGATTGCGATTGTTGTTTTGTAGTTAAGGTGCTAGGGGTGTGTGTGCTTGAATCTGTAATTTGTGTAGTAGTTACTTTCGCAGAAGTTGTGGATTCTGTCGAAGTAGATGTAGTTTTGGGACCGAGAGAAGTTATTGTAGGCGTTGAACTGAATTGTGTACTTGATTGTGATTGTTCGTTTGCCGTTGAAGCGCTAGGGGAATGTGTGCTTGGATCTGTAATTCGTGTAGAAGTAACTGTCGAGGGAGAAGTAAATTTTGTCAAAGTAGATGTAGTTTTGGGACCTAGAGACGTTATTTTAGGCGTTGAACCGAATAGTGTAGTTGATTGTGATTGTTCTTTTATAGTTGAGGTTTTAGGAGTCTGTGTACTTGGATCTGTAATTCGCTTAGTAGTGACTGTCGAGGGAGAAGTAGATTCTGTCAAAGTGGATGCAGTTTCAAGACCTACAGACGTTATTGTAGGCGTTGGACTGAGTTCTGTAGTTGATTGCGATTGTTCTTTTGTAGTTGAGGTGCTAGCGGTGAGTGTGCTTCGATCTGTAATTCGTGTAGTAGTGACTGTCGAGGTAGAAGTAGATTCTGTCAAATCGGATGCAGTTTTGGGACCTACAGAAGTTATTGTAGACGTTGAACTGAATTGTGTACTTGATTGCGATTGTTTTTTTGCCGTTGAGGCGCTAGGGGAATGTGTGCTTGGATCTGTAATTCGTATAGTAGTAACTGTCGAGGGAGAAGTAGATTCTGTCGATGTAGATGTAGTTTTGGGACCTAGAGACGTTATTGCAGACGTTGAACTGAATTGTGTAGTTGATTGTGATTGTTCTTTTATAGTTGAGATTTTAGGAGTGTGTGTGCTTGGATCTGTAATTCGCGTAGTAGTGACAGTCGAGGGAGAAGTAGATTCTGTCAAAGTGGATGCAGTTTTAAGACCTACAGACGTTATTGTAGGCGTTGGACTGAGTTCTGTAGTTGATTGCGATTGTTCTTTTGTAGTTGAGGCTCTAGGTGTGTGTGTGCTTGGATCTGTAATTCGAGTAGTATCTACTTTCACAGGAGGTGTGGATTCTGTCGAAGATGTAGTTTTGGGACCTAGAGACGTTGTTGTAGGCGTTGAACTGAATTGTGTACTTGATTGTGATTGTTCTTTTGCCGTTGAAATGCTAGGGGAATGTGTAATTGGATCTGTAATTCGTGTAGTTGTTACTGTCGAGGGAGAAGTGGATTCTGTCGATGTAGATGTAGTTTTGAGACCTAGAGACGATATTGTAGGCGTTGAACTGAATAGTGTAGTTGATTGTGATTGTTCTTTTATAGTTGAGGTTTTAGGAGTGCTTGTATCTGTAATTCGCGTAGTAGTCACTGTCGAGGGAGAAGTAGATTCTGTCAAAGTGGGTGCAGTTTCAAGACCTACAGACGTTATTGTAGGCGATGTACTGAATTGTGTTGTTAATTGTGATTGTTCTTTTGTAGTTGAGGATCTAAGGGTTGGTGCGCTTGGATCTGTAACTCGTGTAGTAGTTACTGACGTAGAAGAAGTAGATTCTATCAAAATGGATGCAGTTTTGGGACCTAGAGACGTTACTGTGGGCGTTGTACTGAATTGTGTAGTTGATTGCAATTGTTCTTTTGTAGTTGAGGTGCTAGGGATATGTGTGCTTGGATCTGCAATTCGTGTAGTAGAAAATGACGGGAGATAAGAAGATTCTTGCGTAGTAGATGTAGTTTTGGGACCTAGAGACATTATTGCAGGTTTTGAACTGAATTGTGTTGTTAATTGTGATTGTTCTTTTATGGTTGAGGCGCTAAGGGTTCGTGCGCTGGGATCTGTAATTCGTGTAGTAGTTTCTGTCGAGGAAGAAGTAGATTCTGTCGAAGTTGATGTAGTTTTGGGACCAAGAGACATTATAGCAGACGTTGAACTGAATTGTGTTGTTAATTGTGATTGTTCTTTTGTGGTTGCGGCGCTAAGGGTGTATGTGCTTGGATGTGTAGTCCCTTTAGTAGTTACTTTCGCGGAAGTAGTGGATTCTGTCGAAAAAGATGTAGTTTTGGGACCAAGAGACGTTATTGCAGGCGTTGAACTGAATGGTGTTGTTGATTGCGATAGTTCTTTTGTAGTTGAAGCGTTAAGGGTGTGTGAGCTAGGATCTGTAATTCGTGTAGTAAATACTGTCGATGAAGAAGTAGATTCTGTCAAAGTGGATGCAGTTTTAAGCCCTAGAGACATTATTGTAGGCGTTCGACTGAGTTGTGTAGTTGATTGCGATTGTTCTTTTGTAGTTGATGTGCTAGGGTTTTGTGTGGCTGGATCTGTAACTCGTGTAGTAGCTACTGCCGAGGGAGAAGTAGATTCTGTCAAAGGAGATGTAATTTCGGGACCTAGAAACGTTATTATAGGCGTTCGGCTGAATTGTGTAGTTGATTGCGATTGTTCTTTTGTAGTTGAGGTGCTAGGGGTGTGTGTGCTCGGATCTGTAACTCGTGTAGTAGCTACTGTCGAGGGAGAAGTAGATACTGTCAAAGGAGATGTAATTTCAGGACCTAGAGACGTTATTGTAGGTGTTCGACTGAATTGTGTAGTTGATTGCGATTGTTCTTTTGTAGTTGAGGTGCTAGGGTTTTGTGTGCTTGGATCTGTAATTCGTGTAACAGTAACTGTCGAGGGAGAGGTAGATTCTGTCGAAGCAGATGTAGTTTTGAGACCAAGAGATTTTATTGTAAGCGTTGGACGGAGTTGTGTCGTTGATTGCGATTGTTCTTTTGTAATTGAGGCACTAGGGGAGTGTGTGCTTGGATCTGTAATTCGTGTAGTAGTTTTTGTCGAGGGAGAAGTAGATTCTGTCGAAGTAGATGTAGTTTTAGGACCAAGAGACGTTATTGCAGACGTAGAACTGAATTGTGTTGTTAATTGTGATTGTTCTTTTATAGTTGAGGTTTTAGGGGTGTGTGTGCTTTGATCTGTAATTTGTGTTGTAGTGACTGTCGAGGGAGAAGTAGATTCTGTCAAAGTGTATGCACTTTTGGGACCTAGAGATGTTATTGTAGGCGTTCGACTGAATTGTTTAGTTGATTGCGATTGTTCCTTCGTAGTTAAAGTGATAGGGGTGTGTGAGCTTGGATCTGTAATTCGTGTAGTAGTTACTGTCGAAGTAGTTTTGGTACCTAGAGACGTTATTGCAGGCGTTGAACTGAAATTTGTAATTGATTGTGATCGTTCTTTTGTAGTTGAGGTGCGAGCGGTGTTTTTGCTTGGATGTGCAATTCGTGTAGTAGTTGCTGTCAAGGAAGAAGTAGGTTCTGTGAAAGTGGATGCAGCTACAGTACCCAGATATGTTATTGCGGGCGTTGAACTGAATTGTGTATTTGATTGTGATTGTTCTTTTGTAGTTAAGGCGATATGAGAGTGTGTGCTTGTATCTGTAATTTGTGTAGTAGTTATTGTCAAGGAAGGAGTAGATTCTGTCAAATTGGATGTAGTTTTGGAACCTAGAGACGTTATTGCGGGTGTTGAAACGAATTTTGTTGTTGATTGTGATTGTTCTTTTGTAGTTGAGGTGTTAGAGGTGTATGTGCTTGGATCTGTAATTTGTCTAGTATTAGTTGTCGAGGAAAAAGTAGAATCTGTCAAAGTGGATGCAGTTTTGGAACCAAGAGACGTAATTGTAGGCGTTGAATTGAATTGTGTGGTTGATTGATATTGTTCTTTTGTAGTTGAGGTGCTAGGGGTATGTCTGCTTGGATCTATGATTCGTGTAGTAGTTGCTGTAGGAGAAGAAGAAGATTCTGTCGAAGTGGATGCAATTTCGGGACCTAAAGACGTTATTGTAGGCGGTGAACTGAATTGAGTAGTCGATTGCGATTGTTCTTGTGTAGTTGAAATGAAAGGGGTGTGTGTGCTTCGATCTGTAATTCCTTTATAATTCGGGGGAGTTATTGAGGGTATAGTATTAGAAGATGGACTCTTAGAGGTAGGGGTTTGAGGCAATGGCGGAAGCGTTTCTTTCGTTATGTTCGGACTTCCAGATGTTGGTATTGGCGGCTTAGTTTTCAATGTAGTAGTAGGCAGTAAATTTTGTTGTTTTGTAGAGATAGTTAGGGTCGATGGTTTTTCCGACAGAAATGGCAACGGCGCTGGTAATGTTGGGCTACAGATTGCCAAAGGATGTAGAATGCAACTCTGAAAATAAAATAAATATCATAACATTAAAATGAAAATCCAAATTACATAAAAAAATATTGAAATATATTGATATACAAAAATTAGCTATTCCCTAGGCGACCCTCAACTGCGATATCTGAGGAAGATTCGGTTACTCTCAGGCCCCTAATAGAAGTAAACTAGCGCATCTCCCACGAGGGCGACACTGAAAGATTTTAGAACCGGCCACTTGTAAACGGCCTGTATGAGTCTGCAATTTGTGATCATATCCTAGACGGCCCCTACCATTACATCAGATTTGATATACCACAAATCCTCGCGAAAGAACACCTATTCCTGCCAAGGATGATACGTGAGGCTATTGAAATTAAAAAACATCCTAATTTCAATAGAGAAGGAGGCTGGGTACTACCACCTGCTTGGGACCCTATCATCAATAAAATTAAAACTAAACCCAAGCATACCACTGCGAGACCTCAGGACATAGTCAGTCCATTATGCATAGATCGGACCATAAACAATAATTAAAAAAGCTAAAGGTGTTCCGGGTTTAACAACGGGAAGTCAGTCACCTCAGTCCCCCGTGACCATGGGTGCGAAACGTCGGGAATTAAAAATAAAAATAATTAAAAGTAAAATTAAACGCGATAAAATCCGTAAAAGTAGTTTTAATCAAAGCACACCAATGTTATTTTTTCAAAAATTGTTTGAACGTATAAATTTTTTTTAATGTAATGGAGAATAGGTTTAAAAAGCATCAAATCTCGTATATATATATATATATATATATATATGATGTTTATACAAGTTGTCGGTACCCTACGAGAACCCTACGAGAACCAAAAACATTACAGTTACAACTGTTACAGTTTTCAAGATTGTTTTTTGATTTTCATGATTTTATCGAATTTTATTACCTTAATATATACGTATAATTTATGTATATATTTTTATTGTATATTATTTCTGACTAGATGTGTAACTGCATGTTTATTGCAGTTCCCCATCAACATGACACTGTTTCTTTAAAAAAAAAATTATGTTGCAAATTTCTACGAGACAAGATTTTTTATCTAAGTTTAAAATACTGTGGTCTTAAAAAAAGCACTACATCCTTTATGCCCATTGGCTTGAAAAATATAATGAAAAATTAAAAACAATAAACAATTTTTAGGGTTCCGTAGTCAACTAGGAACCCTTATAGTTTCGCCATGTCTGTCTGTCCGTCTGTCCGTCCTCGTCCTCGTCCGTCGTCCACAAAGATTAACTTTGTGACCGTTAGCACTAGAAAGCTGAAATTTGGTACCAATATGTGTATCAATCACGTCGACAAAGTGGTAAAATAAAAATTGGAAAAAATGTTTTATTAGGGTAGCCCCCCTATATGTAAAGTGGGAAGTGATTTTTTTTTTAATTTCAACCCTAACGTGTGATATATTGTTGGAAAGGTATTTAAAAATGAATAGGGGTTTACTAAAATCATTTTTTGATAATATAAATAATTTCGGAAATAATCGCTCCAAAAGTAAAAAACAATGTGTCCCCCCCCCCCCTCTAACTTTTGGACCATAAGTTTAGAAAATATGAAAAAAATCTGAAAAGTAGAACTTTATAAGGACTTTATAGGAAAATCATTTTGAACTTGGATGGAAACAACAGTACCCACTACCGGGAGCAGTTGTAGGAGCGCGGAGCGCTGCTGGAGCACGAACATAATGGATACCCACCTTTAAACTCATATGTGGGAACACTTATTGTGACGGACGGGAAACTACGGAACCCTACACTGAGCGTGGCCCGACACGCTCTTGGCCGATTTTATGTGCTGATGATGAAGAAGGAAGCAAATATCGGAAAGGTTTGCCGTAATTTCTGTCGGCGAAGAATTTACGGCAAACCTTTCCGATATACTTTATGGTTATATACAGCCAAAATATATTCTCTGCTCTATTAACCGCTAAATAAAGATTTCTTTATTCTATAAACAGGAAAATACCTATTGTGCCGATTGGTAGTACGGAAAACACTCATATAATTAAATACCTAGTAAAACTTCTTACCATGATAATAACGTCGAAGTACAGATCCCCAGGACATGTTATTTCTGTCGGCTGCTCCTCTTCACATATTATAAATTTCTTACAAAACTTGGGATGTGGCAGGACAGCAGCATGTAGACCCGTGCATATGTTACCCAGGGCTTGAGGAATTAGTGCCAGGAGCAGAAATATCAGTTCTGTAAAAATTTACGAGTCAATTCCTGTTTTTAGAGCCGTAGCATTAGGCGGGGAACTGATTTTTCTTCTCCCTAGCATCTGCCTGGGCCATGTCCCTCTCCCTCCCTTCACTGCCTTATCACAGCCTATGAGATGTTTCGAGGGTATAAAGGATTTCACATACGTAATCAGATACGCAGATGAACCGTGTAGTGGCGGTGTAAGATTACCCACTACCCCGTATCATCCCGTAGGTGTCATAAGAGGCGACCGAGGGGAAAAATGATGGAGGAGATGGGCAGCAGCGTCTTCCTAACAAAGATTCCGCACCGCCGTTATGGTTAGAATTACACACTTTTTAAACCGACTTAAAAAGGAGGAGGTTCTCAATTCGTCGGTTTACGACGTCATCACAAAGGCCAGACGCACGGGAAATTGTAGACGCTTAACATCGAATGGCTAAGCCGTTAATCATCGGTATACGCGGGATCAAGACATCCTCTCCTTTGTATTTTCCCTTGGTAATCTTGGCCTCGATGACGTTATTCATTAGCTTTTTCACAGTCTCGTTCTATTACACAGTCTAGGTTGATTAATGTTACGCAGCATAATCACAACTGATCCTACTTTTAATTGTAAATTGTGAGGTGGTAGTCCAGGCAAATCCGCGGAATTTAAAAACTCTGTGGGATAGTTAACTATGTCATCTTGGTTTCTGTGTCAACTGATTTGTAAGAAAACAACTTTCCTGGAAGAAAATTCTGAGTGGTCGCATTGATATTTATTTTATAAGATAGGGTGACAAACAAGCACACAGTCTACCTGGTGGTGAGTAGATGCTGCGGCCCATAGACATCTACATCTATCCTCGATTACGAATCAAAATGAAGATGCGTTGCCACCCGTGAGAACTAAGATGGAATGCCTCGTTTCCAGTAAAAAGGTCTACGGTTCCCTACACTTACCATACGAAACACAGCAGCATTAAGCTACTGGTATATATTGAGATATATTGGTAGGTATTGAGATATAATCAACATCTTTGTTTTTGGCCGCCAACTGTAGTTATATGTCTGTAAATACACGCTGAATAAGCTCCTTTTCTCGTTTCAATTTGAGTCGACGAAGTGACAATAACGGTGGGTAGTGTGTTTAAACCGGTCGCGGTATCAACTGCAGACCTTACCACTTCCAATATCTAATAACTGCTTACTTTACATAATCGCAGTTTTATACTTACTTACTTATCTTCACGCACAATCCCTAACGGGGTAGCCAGAGAGAACAGATCGCCAAGTGTCACGATCCTTACATACCTCTTTCGCTTCTTTCAGGTTCGTTAACTTCTTCATACATGCACGTCTAGGTATCCGAGTACTCTTGACCCTCCCCTCTTCGAGCAATTTGCTCACATGGTCTTCGAAAGTTAGTCTCGGTCTACCTCGACACCTTTTAATATTTACTTTCGCTCTATATATTTTCTTCACCATTCGGTCTTCACTCATTCGTTCAACGTGCCCAAACCATTGGAGTACGCCCCTATCAATTTTTGTGATAAGGTCATCGCAGTTTTATCGTGTTGCAAAAACACTTGCATGTTAATTGTTAATTGGAGTCTCTTTACATGCCATACAAATTAGACGATTTTAATCATGCGTTTAGTTTATCAGCAACAAATGATCGGGAAATAATTGGTAGAGTCTGACGAAAATCAACTGACAACATAATCATGGCTCCACTAAAAATGTTTTGGTTGTCACGAAGATTTTTTAACGTTCTGTTCAGTGCCTCCAGTGACCTCTTATGAGCCATTGTATATTCATCCCAAACGATTAATTTGCATATCAGTAAAATCTTCGCCATTGTCCCGTTTTCGGCGATGTTGCAAACTGGTGCTTCGTTGATTTGCATGTTTAGTGGTAATTTCAGAGCAGAATGTGCAGACGAAATCGTCTACCTTCTAACAATGTTGCAGCTAGGGCTACTTCATTTGTCGATCTGATCTTTGCTAACAGCAATGAAATTAGGAACGTTTTTCCAGTCCTCCCGGGAGCATCAAAGGATGTAAATTTCATCAGATCCACTGTTCACAGGTTCCATTAAAGTATCGTACACAATTATTTGTTGTTCATTAAATTGCGGAACATTTGAACGAACTGTTTGGGCCAATACTTGAGTATTGTACTGTTGTTCTCTTGGTTAAATGCATCGCGCATGGAACGATTGTGTGTCGCTATATCCGCCGCGTATTCTTGATTGAAATACACTCGATGTCCATTTTCTAGATGAACTGCCAAATGGATTACTGTAAGATGTCTTTCGTGGATCGCGAATGAAAATATGGGCCAAAAAGTCTGCTTATATAGCGATCCATCTGATACAGAGATACTTGATCATTTGCGTTTGTTACAGCAAAGATGGCCATGTCGCTACCTCTGTTAACATATTTACGTATATAATTTATCGATTTGACTGAGTTAAAATATTCAACATTGAGGTGAGCTTCAAAAGCTTTAGATAATATTGGAGAGTACGGCACTATCCAACGATTGTCCACTTCAAAATCTTGTAGTTTTACCTTCACAACTACTGATCAACCACCGTCCGCAACTGATCGCCGACGATACAATGGGTAACCGTCATTTCCCGTGATGGTTTCAGCGTTCAGGTACTCTCGGGTATGGCTTGGAGCACTTGCCATCGACCATAGAGGGTGAGTTGTCATTGAAAACTCCGCAAGGTCCATGTATCATGTGTTTAGTCACTACTGCATGCAATTTTGGGTCAACTGTTTCATCGGGAATCTCAGCTGAAATTATTGAATCAATTTCATTTGGCCTTATTTTATCAACTAACTAAACTAATATATGCACATGAGGTAGACCACACTTTTGCCACTCAGCAGGATACATCCAATAACGGACTTCGCCATACACACGATGCTTTGTAATGAAATTAATTAGAGATTTTAATTTTTGTTTAAAAATTCTGGTTGTGTTGTCATATGCATGATATTACAGTCAGAAGTGGTGTTTGGCTGTATAGCAATTCTTTCTTGATTTCTATTCATTATCTGTCTGCCATACTCTGTTTTTTATAGGAGAGGGGGCAAACGAGCATACCGATCACCTGATGGTAAATGATTACCGCCGCCCATGATCAACTGCAACACCGGGCGGATTGCAGATGCGTTGCCGGCCTTTTAAAAAGGGATAGGCTCTTTTGGGCAGCCATATTGTCTAATATGTCGTATGTTCTCATGCATCGCATCTTGCGCGTACTCGTGCATGTAGCGCGGGCTTCCAATGTAAGTGGCTAGGAAAATTGTCATTCTTGCCACATTATTTACGCTGTCATCTAAATTAATAGCATTACGGAACTGATGAAAAAGCCATTGACACATCAAAATATGACTTACTTTACATAATGATGATCATATTTATTTTAGTTCTTCGGGGACGGTTTTTACTGTTTCGAAAGTTTTATTATTTGCTTTTATACTGAACTCAGAAATGAAATGCTAAGACTTACCCATTCCTCCTCAAGGGACTTACAAATCCGCTCCAGTGTCAAAACGGACGTAACAATCAGAACGTACGATTTACCTAAAAGTACTAAATAAAACTTTAAATACCTAACTAATTACCGTGGAGATTAATTTAGATATTATAATTGATTTGTTATGACTTTTTATGAACAATGGGCGGCAATTGCCTTGAATTATAATATACACGTGTTTTGAACAGCACCAAGACCAAATAAAAACTTTTGTATAAATTATATTATAAAATATTTGTTTAATTGAAGTCTCCTGTCAACAATGTATAGTAGATTTTGGAGGAATGTCTATACATTCCTCGAAATGAAGCCATCTCCAGAGATATTCACATACATCTCCACTTCCTCATATGCCACATTTACACTCGGCCACTGTCACTCCTCCTGTCGCTGCCGGAAATATTTCTCTAAATACTTCTGCAGCGATAACGACGCGAGTGGGTGTTTACACTCAGCCTTCATACTTCTTTATTGATCAACTCGCAACAATGGCTGACGTCGAGGTTGTTGGTGCGACAGCATTATGTCTGTTCAGTGTACGTAACTATTTAAGTGTATTTAAAAAGAAATAAAAGACGCCGTCGTCAAAGAAGGTGGTGGATTAGGAAAATTCATAGCAATAGAACGATTAAGTACTATTACAAATTATTTGTGTGTATAAATATTTAAATAGTATGAATAAAAAACTTCGCGGCAAGTGAACGTAAAAGTAAACACTCGCTCGCGCTCGCGCTGCCCGTTGTTTGACTTCCGCGCGAAAAATCGACAATCGAGAGAGTGCCGGGCAGTGCCAGGGGCATGGGCAGTGACAGCGCGAGTTTCATATTTCCATACACGCGCTGCCCATTTACGGTCAAGGTATAATAAGGAATTTGCACTTAAAAGAAGCAAAAATTAGGAGCTTTTTAAGTGCTAATTCGGTGCCAAGTTTAAAAATTAGGTGCTGTAAAATTTTCACCGCAACGAATTGTTGAAATTTGCGTTGCTGGTAAAACATATCGCTAGCAACGCAGTGACGATAATAGATATACGATTAATATTAATAGCAAGGAATAAAGTGCTAATTAAATGCTGAAAAGTTATTTAGGTCGGAGATAGATGATGGTAATATTCTGGGAATTATGGGGTCCAGGACCTTACCATACCATAAGGTATGAACGGTATTTTTTGTTTTTTTATGTTATATATTACAGATAAGTTGGGTCGAATCTGTACTAAAACCGAATCGTAACGCCCCGACTCCACGTAGTTGTCTGTGTGCTTTTGGACCCTAGTGTTTTTGTAAAGCCATAGGGAAAAGCAACCCTCGCCCGCTGTAGCAAAACGCAGGCATCTCTGCGAGCCGTAGCGGCTGGGCGACCAACAAGCCGCAGCTACAAAGGTGAGTACGGGTGCCTGTGATTTTCTACGGCAGGGCGAAAGGGCTGCACATACCGCAACACCGAAGCCGTTGCAGAAGTAACTGTGTTCATATTCCTGTGTAAACAAGTGAGTGCTTTTTTGCAAGTACTTAATTATCAAATTAATTCTATATTCTGCTTTCCAGAAGACCTGATTTTTGCACGTGTGCTGAATAACGACTTCATTTTTATTGCCTATACTTGCAGCACTTTGTGGCGGCGCTGTCGTCGCGCCACAAGTGAAGCACACAGAAGCACAAAATTGCGCTATCAAAGTTGCGCGGCGGGAGATCTCTCCTTTTACTTCCACGGCCACAGTGGGTATACCGACGTGATCTGAACACATAACCAACAACCTTCGGAAGCTATAACTTCAAGCCTTCCGTCATTATCCTCAAGAACTCCTACCATTCACTACTGAGAATCGTCTTTTGCAGTCTTCAGTTCCTGCAAGCCTGTCCAGCCTGTCTTCATCTCGACTCACCACAGATTTACAAGGCAGACTTCTGAAACTTGCTCCGGCACATCGTTCTCACCGGCATCACTTGCCAGTGCGTTGTACGGCATGCATTACACATCGGCATATCATTCGCAACGGTGTCACTTGACCTTACGCACACAGCATTCCACCAAACAATGCAATGTCGATCTCCGGTCTGAGCAGGGGGGTGATGTGGCGGCGCTGTCGTTGCGCCACAAGCGAAGCACACCGAAGCCTAAATCACGCTATCAAAGTTCCGAATCATAAACACTATATATCTATATATACTGTTTATGATTCGGAACGGAAATTATACAGCTCCGAACTACTACACGGAGCGTTGGCCGCTCCCTGGGCATAACACCTTGCCCGGCGGGAGATCTCCCCTTTTCCCTCCACGTCCACAACTTAATTAGCATTTAATTCCTTGCCATTAATATTTTTGTATATCTATTATCATCACTGAGTTGCTGGCGATACGTTTTGCCAGCAACGCAAAGTCAACAGTTCGTTGCGGTGAAAATTTTACAGCACGTAATTTTTAATCTTGGCACCTAATTAGCACCTAAAAAGCCCCTAATTCAACCGTACACAACTAATATTCACCATTGGGATGGGGGATTTTTATACATTAGGGATTATTTTTCACATTAGGGATGCCGTTAATATTAAGCCAAACAAAATTCTTATATAAATTATAAATTAACTTTATTTAGTATTTCATTGTCATTCATCGTCATCATCATCATTATCGTCATCACTGTCGCGCTCGGCTTCCCTGCTCTTCAGCTTCGCTTCCAACTCTTTAGCCGCGTTAAACACACCGCTTGTTTGCGCGTTGCATATATAACATCGGGTCGATTTCTTGTAATTATCCAACGCGCATTTCTCGCAGAAGTAGTGTTTGCATCTGAAAACAAGTTTTTAATACAGTTGCTCAAAAAGTGGCGTATTGCAGGAACGTATAGTGTTCGGGATGTGTGCTTCCTCTTTCCCAACTGTCAAAATAATGTCTATTAAAAGAAAAAAAAAAAACAACCGCGAGGTTTTTACTAAAAAAAATCATAGAAGTTTTTATGATTCATGCAAATATGTCTAAAAAGAAGCTACTAATTTGTTTCAATATCAGATTGCCTCAAACAGTAAATATGCAACCTAAAACTTCCCCAGTCAGTAAAAAAAAACTGTACCAATTTCAATGTATATGTGAATTATAACTTTTATAAGAAATAAATGATTAGTGTGTTTTTATTATTTTATTAAATTGCTTGTTTTTTTTCACAACTGTATTAAAAAATAGTTGTTCATTACACGTGCGGAACCGTCATTGCAACTTGTTCCGACTGTCAACCCTCACCTTCGGCTGCTCCTCGGCTCGGGTAGACATTTGTAGGAACTCTTTGCAATGACAGGCTTTCCGCACTCGTAATGAAATATACTATTTTACAATTATAACATAAAAAAAACTAAAAGCTTCTAAACAGACGACCATTTTCTCGCCCAAAGCTATACTTATATATATTTTATAGAATGAGGATGACAAAGGAGCACACAGTCCACCTGAGGGTCAGTGGATGCTGCGGCCCATAGACACATTTGCCTCGATTGAGAATCAAAATGCATATGCGTTGTCACCCCGGGAACTGAAATGGAACGTCTTGTTGTCTTATTTCCAGTAAAAGTGTATGCACACACCATAAGAAAAACACAGCAGCATTAAGCTGCTATTTTACTCTGGTATTATTTGAGAGCGTGGTTATTCCCGGTCGAACCGATCCATTCATGCTACAACCATAATACAGAGCAGCAGGACTCTACCAGGTATAAGCATTCGAGGACTCACGAGTCTCGGGCTTAAACTATGGTTTACGAATACAAGATAAAAGAAGCAGCCGAACCATAGTCTTCGAAATGTCACATTTTGCTGACAAATACTATACATCATCATACAGAGCCATTCTAATCTCGCTCAGACTAACGTCGGGGATATCATCGGAATAGTGTCGGATAAGACTCGCTCCTGAATCGTTACTCACACTTGCGTGTGGCTCTAACGATGACGTGTACAGCTGTCCACTCCATAGAACCTCCCAATCCGAATCAAAATCTCAGATGACCCGGAAAGGATGCTGCCACAATCGGTCCTCAGCTTCGACAGTTGGCTCTTTCTGGCAGACTTAGAAGCCCTGATTCCGCTCGATCTCTTCTTCAATACGAGCTGTATTAAAGTTGCGCTAATCTCGTGCTCATACATTTGCAGATCTATCTGTTAATTTGCCTGTATGCTGTCAAATCTGCTGAAGACCACAGCTTCATCTCCCGTCTAACAGTCATGAGATTAAGAGTGTGATCGTAAAGTTTTTGTGATCTTCTGCGAAGGGTCTTACAGAACTTAGCTCCGACCGCAAGGACAGTTTCCACAAGCTTGTCATTCATATCACCCATATCATGCAGTCTTCTAGGCACTGAAAACGATTTTGTAACTCGAGCTGAAAGTTTTCGGGCTTTGAATTAGAGCACGTGGGGGACGGAACACATTCATTAGACCTGATCTCTCCAACTTCACGTCTAGGTTCAGTGTACCTCTTTCCATTCCGTGATTGCTGCCAGTTTTTACCCTTGCGATCACTGAAACATCACTGGACAGTTGTCGTCTGGACGTCATAATGAAGCCGATCTCATTTTTTGTCGAAACGTCGGGGCTCGACCAGGTCTATTTTCTGTGGAGCCGCTTTTGGAAGAAAGAATTCATCATAAAGAGTCCTTATTTCTCCATAAAGTCGGCCAGCTGCTGGCCCCTTGGGTTTCGTTTCCTTATTCCGAATTTCCCTACTTTCAGCTCACCGTTCTCTCTTGTGCCTGGTTTTGCATTGAAGTCTCCCATTAACACCATATAGTGGGTTTTGGAGGAATTCACGGCTCTAGAGATAATACTCATACATTTCCTCATCTCCTCATCGGGATGTGCCGAGGTTGGCGCGTAAACCTGTATGACCCTCAGAGAATTCCGTTTGGTGATTCTGAGTAAGAGGTACGCAACCCTCGTCGACACACTTCCAATCCTTATAACATTGTTAACGAGAGACTTGTGAACGA